ACACCACATTGTCACGAAAGGTGCACCTTGTAGCGCGAGACCACGACGCTTGGACCAGAAAATGTCCAACATTGTGAAACAAGAATTCGAAAAACTGATGAAGCTTGGTGTAATACGGCCATCTAGTAGTCCCTGTGTATCGCGATTATACGTGGTACAAAAAAGAATGGACAGTACAGATCATGCGGAGATTACGGAGCATTCAATAAACTAACTCTGGCAGATAGATAGATAGATACCCGGTGCCACATAATATGGAAGGCACCACGATCGTCGCTAGGAGCCTATTATAATATTTCCGTGGAACAGGAGGATATACCGAAAACGGCCGTAATCAACCCGTTCGGATTAATTAAATTTCTGCGAATGACTTTCGGATTAGCTAATGCGATTCAAACCTTCCAGAGATTCATCGACGACATAATTGTAGTTAGTGCTGCAGCGGAAGAATATCTACAACAACTGAGACAGTTGTTCAATAAATTACACGAACATGGTACCGACATCAACGTTGAGACATGTGAATTCGGAAAGAAATCACTGCAATTTCTAGTACATAATAAATTATCAAGGTATCAAAGCTGTTCCAACAGAAGTTGTAGCTATTCGTGACTATCCGTTGCCCGAATTACAAAAGAAATTTCGACGATTCCTAGGGTTAATCAACTACTATAGACGATTCAATCCAAATTGCGCAACAATATTGCAACCATTCACAGACTCTTTTCGAGGACGTGTCCGAACATTTCACTTGTCATCAAACACTATAAAGGCATTCAAGAATGCTAAGCGCGTGCTAAATGAAAATACAATGTTAGTACGACGAAAAAGAGAAGCTCCATTAGCCATCATGACTGCCGCGTCGAATATCGCTGTTGAAGCCGTGTTACAGCAGTTAGTAAACGGCACTTGGGAACCAATTTCATTCTTTTCTAAGAGATTAAGTCCCACTCAAACGAGGTATAATACGTTCGGAAGAGAACTGCTAGCAATTTACTTGACAATAAAGCATTTTCGACATATGCTTGAGGGTACCGTTTACACAGTGTACACAGATCATAAGCCCCTCACGAAAGAATTAGACGCGAAGCAAGACAACTACTCTCCAAGGTAAGTTCGACAATTGGACATTATTTCCCAATTTACGTCTAGCATACAATATATTGAAGGCCATAATAACAAAGTAGCAGATGAATTACCAAGAACGTGACTAACGCTCTCATCCAGTCAGGCATTGATTATCACAAACTTTTAGCATTGCAAAATATGGATGTTGAGCTAAGCAGGCTAAGATCATCCAATACAACTTCTTTGGTATTCGGTAAAGTAAGCATAACGTATGATATCTTTACAGGCCGACCACGACCGTTTATCCCGAAGCTGATAGACGAAAAGTTTTCGAAACTATGCATACTATATCATATCCTGGAACTGATGGAGACCCCGAACGACATGGCTCAAAACCGTTTTTAATGGCTCAGGTGCATCCACTCTTTGTCTTCTCTCAAATCCTAACCTTCTGAATTCATCATTACCTTTATCTTTTCATCTCACTAGATTCTACTTCATGAATGATATAGTCGAACCCTAAAATTTCCGATTACTGCTAATACTTCTACCACCTCTACTACTATGGGATTTAAAGTGACAATGGCATCTCTTTGCTAATATGGTTGTTGATATCTTGGAATTAAGGCCACGATCAACCTAATCAGATAGCGTTTTGTATGGCCAAGTATGAACCGGGATGTTTGCAACTGGACGCAGGCATGTATAAAATGTCAGAAAGTTAAAGTACATAGCCACACAAGTTCCACAATAGGTCCTTTCCGTCACCCAGGCAGCCGATTTGAGCATATAAATTTCGATATAGTTGGACCATTGCCAATTTAAAATGACTTCAGTCATATATTTACCTGCATTGACGGATTTACGCGATGGCATGTAGCGGTACCCATAAAAGATATTTCAGCAGAAACTATAGCTAAAACCTTAGTCCAACATTGGATCTCATATTATGGATGGCATGCTAATATTACAACCGATAGAGGAGCTTAATTCGAAAGTCACTTCTATTCATCCTACTCGCTTTAGTGGTAACCCTTTAAATAATTCGATGACTAAACCATTTTCCTATATATATATATATATATGTATATATGTGTACACTTGAATCTTACTAATTCATTCGCCAATTCGCTAACTCGGCATTCGCTCAGTGAACCTGCATTCGATATAAGTCCTCCGAGTCTTTACCAAGTTGAAAAAGCAATAGGAAATGTGAGGCTAGGGCGAAAAGCAGGGCCTGGCACGCATACCCTCAAGACTCTTAGGAACGATGGTCCAGTTTTAGCAGTTAGATTGACTGAGATATTAGGTATGATCTGGGTACTGGTCGTAATCCCGTCTAACTTGTCTCAATTAATGATTGTCCCAGTCTACAAGAAAGGACAGAAGTCCTCATGTTACAATCACAGAGGAATCAGTCTAACCAATATCATGTCTAAAATATTGGCTTCAATAATATTCGGACGCCTAACTAGAGCTCGCGAAGTGCAGACTAGAGAAAACCAGGCTGGTTTTAGACCTGGACATGGCTGTATAGACGCGTGTTCACACTCGGACAGGTCCTCGAACATAGACACACATTTAAGCGTCCGGAAATAGCTGTCTTCCTGGAACTTAAAGCGGCGTTTGACTCTGTTGAACTTGAGGTTCTGTGGCACTGTCTATCGTAAAAAGGTGTACCGAAGTACATCAACCTTATGCAAGCTCTCTACTCGAACACTACAGGTCGAGGTACAGATTATGGCGAAGTGTCATCAGAATTCTTAACTTCAAGTGGTGTCCGTCATGGCTGTCTCACCACACTTGTTTAACTGACGAGATCTCAGTATGGATACAGAAGGCCCAACTGGCTTTCGCCAACTTGCATCACTTATGACATAAGCAAGATATCCATTTGCTAACCAAAGGGAGAGTGTACTGCCTAGCAGTTCGTTCTGTTCTCCTATGGAATATTCGTAGCGAGTACTAGGCAGGAATGGCAGATCAACTGAAGTGGTGAAACCTTATCAATTGAGGTGGTTGGAACATGTGCTAGGATTGCTTAACCACCGACTGCCGCGACGAGCAATGATGCTTGGTTTCGGGGTAGGTTGGAAAAACGCTAGGGGCGGCCAAACCAAAACATGGCAAAAATCCACGAAATCACTAACAAGTGGACTGAGTCATGTTGGTAGATTCAGGCTACCTGGTTGGGGTCCGCGAGACGAAAGTCACCAATGGTTAGAGACCTTGAGTGACGTGGCTCAGAATCGTCTGCAATGGCGCAAGTGCATCCACTCTTTGTGTTGTCTCAAATCCCAACCTTCTGAATTCCTCATTATCTATATCTTTCTCTTTCTTAATTTATCTCACTGAATTATACTTCTCGAACCATATCTTCGAACCCTAATCTTCTCCATTACTGCTAATACTTCTACTACATCTACCACTATGGGGTTTGAATTGACAATTGCATCCCTGTGTGCTAATATGGTATAGCAACTCGGACTGGCGTACGTACGTACGATGTTTTACGTTGTAGCTGACTGACTGAAAGACTAAGTGGCTCAATGAACATCGTTCAAACTTATATCCGAATAGGAAAATCGCGTTTTAAAAATTAAGTCGAAATGAAGCATTGTTAACGATCTTACAGTGTTTTACTATTTCTTTATCAACACGCTAGGACTAGTTTTCTCTACTAATCACAAGGAAGAGATATATTCGACGTGAATAAATGCAAAGACACATCCATGACCTTCGAGCTATTCTAACAGATGTATCATTGTTGGGAATTGGAAATTTCGGTATTGCCCCAAATGCTGTATATTAGGAGTGGATAATGTTCTATCTCTCTATGCGTTACAGTTTTGTTTAACTATTGACCTGTATCTAGCAAATACATAACCGAAAATCAGTATGTAATACATGCATATAACTAAGACTGATATTCGATAGGAAGAACTATAAGTCAATGAGTGGTTTTCCAGGACAGTTTTTTCCAATAAAATTAATCCCATCTTATAACTGTTTTACAGGAGATACTTTAAAAACTATTCGACGATAACTAAATACTTATGATTTCCCATTGAGTCATTCATTTTAAGAGATAATTTTAAATGTGTTGTAATGTCAGGAAGTAAAAAAAATCAACAATTGTCCATAGTCCCCCGTTATATTAGTTTATCATTCTGAAAACTATCTAGAACTAAAAAATTACTAAGTGATGAGAGACTAGGCGGTACTTAGTTTAGGAAACTATGAACCAACTTAAATTGTTAATTAAGATATAGTTGAATTAATTACGTAGTCAAACCATGAATACCTATAAATTTAAATTTTTTAACGCAAGACAAATATGTCTTACTGGTAAATGATTTATAAACACAGTTATTGATTAATTGGGTGAGGGTTGCAGAAAATTGTTGTTACTCTCTCAGCAGCAATATTAAGGCAAAAAATAAGTTTTTCAAATAAACAACTCTGTCGTTGGATTACGATTCGGTGTGAAATTTCAGGTTCATGAGGTGACTAAGAATATTCAACTTCATCAAAATCATTTTGTACGTGGTCCAACGTTAGTTATACACCGTCCTAAACTACGCAAGTTAATTTTCGATCGATCAATCACTCACCAATTTGAGGTTAAGTGGTAATCAGGTCATAAAATTAAGATACACATGTAGCAGTAGATATTTAGTAGTAGCTCAGTCGTTTAGATAGTTCGGATTTCTAAATACGGTTATATGCTCGGTTTGGGGAGTTGATTTTTATCATAAGCTCCCACTAAAAGGAATAGCAAAGAACCAATTACGCAGACATAAGTTTGGTTATTGAGTTAATTCTAGGAGAAACTGAGACAAAAATTTGAGTGTTCGTGTAATACAGGTAAATGTACTTTTATCCGCAAACTTGAAGAGGCAAGCATAAGCATACAACCAAAAATAACCATACAGAGGACAGATAATTTTTATTCAGATATGAGTATACAACATTTTAATCATGCTGTTCAGTATGTGGCACACTACCCATACGTTGAGGATTTTGGCTTGGATAATGAATACCTAACGCATCATCATCGGCTGGTGTATTTTTGCCAGACTTTGATCCATTCGGTGTTGAAGTCGTTGTTGCATTGGATTGAGACTTAAGAGGAGGAGGTGGGGGCGGCGGTGGTGGAGGGGGAGGCATAGGCAACAAAGACGATGAGTTCGAATCACGTAGAGCGGGTGGCGCTGGTGGTAGAGGGTTTCGTAATAAGCTTGTAGGACGAACAGTGAAATGAGGTAAAGGTGGAGGTGGTGGACCTCGTAAAAACAATTCTAAAAAGAGATAAAGAACCACATACAATTAACGAAAAAGATTTGTTTTTCGTAGTTTTATGTAGTTTATGATATAATTATCCTCATGTGTTCAAATATAACTAGAACATTTGCACGTGTTTATATTGGATGGTCAAATAAAATAATACATCATATATTCATAGTTTTTTCTAAACTCAAAGAGTTTTGAAGGGATTAAAGTTTTTTCAAACCACTAGGATACCTATTATCAATTCAGGACATTTTCACGTTTTAGATTTATTGTAACTAACCAGTATTATAAAAAGTCGCCAAACTATTCTTAAGCTAAATTCCTTTAAAATTAAGGCAGGACCACCACGGTAACTGGTATATTATCCTTCATGCCTATTCATTGAAGAAATGATCATATACACTGTACACACTGCCTTAACTATGCAGTGCGATGAAAGAAGTTACTCTTGGCTGGTCGTAAACTTTTTCTGAAGATGGTCGGAAAAAACTATTGGAATATTTTTGGGTGTAATTACTTGAAAGTCACATGTTATTTGGATGGAGGAGACTTTCCTTGTCAAAGACTCATGAGTTTAGCCAAAATATGTGGCAGTAGATAAACCAATTATCAACACAAATTGAGTGTTTAGCGTTGAATGTATAAACCCAGTAAAATAATTATAAAAGCACGAACGATAGATGGTTTAGTGAGCAATAAAAAGTACCGCTGAGGTGAATTACATATCGTTTGCCCAATACATAAGTAAGATATCAGGACACTAGGTTACTAACAATGATTTCATCCCTAATAGCCTCGATGAAGTGAAAGTGAAGGAAAAAGTACAAAAACTACTTGATTTCATGAGGAAGGTAATTCAATGACTTGCCTACAATACCCTCAGTGTAAGTTATGAGAAAATGTTACTTACCTCCAGGAGGTGGTGGTTCAACAACTGGCGGTGCAAGTTGAACCGGAGGTGGAATAAGCGGCATTCTGCTACTAGATACGTGGTCGGAACTGGAACCTATTAGCGGTTTGGTAGTAGGAGGCGGTGGCGGAGGTGGTGGTGGTGGTGGAGGGGTCATAAAGAAATTCCCGCTTAGTCCTACAGACATTGCTTTACTTAGTAAGTTGGTTGGCGGCAAAACAGGCGGTAACGGCAGACCAGGAACAGGGGGTAGACTTATATCACCAGCTTCTGTCAATGAGTGAGAATTGGCAGCTGCTAAGGCAGCTGGTGATTTCCCCCAATTGACAGTTAGTCTATGACCACCCAAAATTAATCGGTCATAGGTCCGTTCAGCTGCACGTTCAGCAGCACCTCTTGTTGCAAACTGTATAAAAGCACAATGTTGTTTCGCATGAAGATTGACGGAACGTAGCTCTCCAAACTGGTAAAAATGATTGCGCAGATCTTTTTCAGTCATTCCATCTGGAATACCACCAATGTATAGTGTAGTTATTGTACGATCCTCCGGAGGAATAAGTTTAGGCATAGTATCATATTTCGAAAGCAATTTGGCTGCCACTGGATCATCGTGTCCATAGTAACGGTCTCTTAGATTCTGGTCAGAAAGAGGATCATCAGGATCCGTAGGCTTTTCATGTCTATATGGACATTCTTCTCCTCTTCTACATTCACCCTTCACCCAAAAGGAGCATATATGTGGGCGATTTCTACGATAATATGGTGCAGTACGAGCCAGCTTTAGAAGTAAATCTGTGCCCCCACCACCGCTAGAACTGCTTGCTGACGCTGTGTTTGAAATAGCTTTTCCAATTAGCTGATTCCCTCCATATGGAGCAGTTATATCACCTTCCACTTCCAGGTTCTGTTCAATTTGTTGGTGGAAATATTCGCGATTAACATCATTTTTCGGTAGTTGCTGTGATAAACGAAGTGCCTTATCACGAACCTCAACAGGAAGGCCATATTCGAGGTCGAACAAACAGGTCTGGCAAACATTTTTAATTTTTGCACAACTCTGACAAACTTCGGTCTTTTTGAATCTGGCTTTCGGACCAGGACACCAACGAAATACGGTGAAAGGGCGATCACAAATTTTGCACTCTTTGCCATATTTTTCTTTCATCATTCGAACAAATGGACTTGGTCCTAAGCATGTCTCACATAGAATTGGGAATGACTAGGTAATAGATAAAATATGTAGGCAGTTGATATAAGCAAGCCAATAAGGGAGCTATATATATATATATATATATATATATATATATATATATATATATATATAACGGAAAGCAGTTGACTATTTATTGGAAAACTAAACCGGAAATTCTTTTGAAGTTTTGATTTTAGTAGTTTTTTCATGCTTACATATAGCTCAAGAACAAAGAGTCGGAGGAAATTTGTTTTTGGGTGTATCAACCGAATATTTACTTTGAGTTTTTGCGATAGGCAAACAAATGCGCGCTTGTAATTGTACCCTAACTACTAAGAATAGTAAGACCAGGTATCCATATTTAGTTCTGAAATAACGCTTGACAGCCAGTTATTTTAATCGGGAACCAAAACCAAGGTATGTAAAATGGGAGTTGATTTTCAAACGTATTAAATGGAAGGCAAATGTTGTAAGCCTGAATCTATATTCTTAAAGTGGAAGTTGGATTAAACTATATCAGTTAGGTCTTGTGGCATCATCGATTACTGTAAGAAAATACACCAACCTACAGAAGATTTCAGCATTCTAATTCAGTAAGCTGTCGTTCGGACTAGCCACCATTAAATGTATCAGAGTCAGTTACAACGTAGAACTTTGAACGTACGCACATCAGTCAGTCTGCATTTTGTCAGTCTTCACAGAATAGGACTATGTCATCAGCATACTCTAAGTCAGCAAGCGTGTCTCCAGGTAGGTCCTCTCCTGAAAGGTCACACGAAGATAACATTAACTCTAAAAGCATGGCTGCAAAAAAGTTAAACAGGAATGTAGAGACTGGACAGCCCTGACGGACACTACTTGAAGTTAACAATTCCGATGACAGACAGATACAAGGCAGAACTTCGTACATAAGTACATCAGTTCAGGTTGCCATAACACGTCAGCACAGAGAAGTAACTGTCAGTTCAAATCCAAGAGTGATAGCGATAGTAAAATTATCTTCAGCAATGGAGAAGATTAGGGAGCGAAGATATGATTCAAAAAGTATAATTCAGTGAGATTATGAGGAATTCAGGTTAGAGTTTGAGAGAACACAAAGAGTGGATGCACCTGCGCCATTGCAGACGATTCTGAGCCACGTCACTCAAGGTCTCTAACCATTGGTGACTTTCGTCTCGCGGACCCCAACCAGGTAGCCTGAATCTACCAACATGACTCAGTCCACTTGTCAGTGACTTCATGGATTTCTGCCATGTTTTGTTCAGGCCGCCCCTAACTTTCTTCCAACCTACTCGTACACCACAAAACATAGCTCGTCGCGGCAGTCGGTGGTTAAACATACGTAGCAAATTCCGATGACATTTCGTCATCAGCTCTCACTCGAACATTACTAGTCGAGTGGAGAGCCTGTATAAGGTCAATGTAATTCTTTGGTATACCTTTTATTGACAGATACTGCCACAGAACCTAACGACCGACACAGTCGGATGCCGCTTTGAGGTCGGGAAACACTACTGTTATGGGGCGTCTGAATGTGTGTCTTTGTTTTAAGACCTGACTAGAGTGAATATTTGTTCTATACATCCACGTCGATGTCTACAAACAGCCTGGTTTTCTCTAGTCTGCACTTCACGAGCTTTAGTTAGGAGTTCGAGTATTATTGAGGCCCCTGTGATTGTCACTAAAGGACTTCTGTCCTTTCTTTTAGACCGGGACAATCATTGATTGAGACAAGTTAGACGGGATTACGCCCAGTTCCCAGATTCTACCTAAGATCTCAGTCAATCTAACTGCTAAAACTGGACTATCATTCTAAAAAATCTCATGGATAAACCTGTCGGGCCCTGCTTTTCGTCCCAGCTTCTGATTTCCTACTGCTTTTTCAACTTGGTAAAGACCCGGAGGACTTATATCGATTAGCCTTTCAGGATGACTGGAGATCGTGGGTAACCGAAGTGTGGCTGAAGGCCAGTTGACCTGATCTCTAAGGTATTCTTCCGATAGATCCAATCCCCTGGGTTGAAAATGAATGATAAGTCCATCCTCCTGTAAGATAGTTTCGCTAACAGATGGAGTTCTAATACCGCTTTCCTTGATAAGTCGGAACAAATGTCTGCTGTTAGCTATCACCGATGCCTTTTCCGTCGCTCACGCTATCCACCACTATTCACGGTCGTTGCGTAGGCTTTTCATCAGCCTGCACCTAAGCTGACTTCGCCCCTCATTATTTTCATAGCCGAGTGGGATGAGTTTTTGAGCATCCATCAGTTCGATAAATGACAAATGAATCCACGGCTTATACCAAACCTTAGGGTTCTACCTAATGATAGCAGAGCTATGAATATATTTCAGGAACTAGAAAAAGTTGGACGGCAATATAAATGATTCCTATCCGGAGTCAGCTTGGAATGATTACCGAAAAGCTGTGGAAACAGCAGTGATATCTACTAGTAAGGTAAACCATAAGAGATTTCCTTGATGCGTCTTTCCTGCGTACAGTAAGACTCAGACAAATTTGCTATCGTACTAGAACATGATCTAAATCTGAGCCCCAGAACGAGTGACAGTCCTCTATCGAACCCCTCCGGCAACAGCTGATAGCGATGTGATCTTTTGGTTTCAGCGTTAGGTTTCCAGGTGAAAAGATGCTCTTCCTTTGCTCAAAGTTAGTGTCTGCTACAAATAGGCGGTTATCTGAGCATAGCTGCAGCGGACGGTCGCCATTATCTTTGCCAGTCCTTGCTGTCCCGTTCAGCCGGACAGCGCACAAACGACTATCTACTGAGATCCAGTCTAGGAGAGCCAGTTCTGCCCTACGACTCAATCCTATACCTACAACAGCGAGACCCCGGGAAGCAGCATCAGGGCTACTGGAAACATGAAGAGTAAATCGAGTTGGTTCTTTATTTTGACAAGGTGAAATCAAATTAATGATTTTACTAGGATCCTGTATGCGCGTTTCCGAGACGCTGCACACATCGATTGAGCGAGATTCTAAAGTCCTAGCTAAGCAGGCCTGTTGTCTTATTTGACACATTGTCCGGACATTAAATGCTTCAACATGTAGTTTAGAACGGAGTTTCAGGAGACCAGGGATATCGTTTCGTGAACTCGAATCGTTTGCATTAGCGGTGCAGCGTGATAAAGTATTGTGAGAAGGGTGAGTCGTGGAGATAAGAGAGATGTTAGGGAGAGTTTCATGAGGAACCTGAAAAGGAAGGTAGATTAGCGTTGGTCTTAGAGACCTGACAGCGTGACCACAGAATCCAAGGGACAACTGCTTGATGCCGCTGATGCACGACATTTTTATGGGTAGTGAAGTGTTAGCTACGTCCTTGTTTAAAAGGCCTTGCCGCCGGAGACGAAAATCCGTGAGGTAAGGTGAGGTGTGACCTTTTCTAACCCTTCCTTCTTTGTGAGAAAGCAGCATCTCTGCATGTGCTGGTTGTCCGAGGGAAGCACCTTACTGCTGTCACATCTCTCTGTAGTCAGCAGTACGACTTCGCCCTCAGACCTCGAGTAGCTGCTTTTAGTGGGACAAAATTGTACACCACCAATTTATTAAATGTGTTTACATCTATAGGTAACTCTAACTAATTCAGATGGTATACATACGTCACATATTAACACTTTCAAGGAGATTGAGTACGTAGATGACAGTTTTAATTAAGGACACAGACAAAACTGTTTTCCGAACGTTTTGAGTGAGTAAAGACTGCAAGATTATTTTAGCTGTAATTAATATAAAATGTTCTACCAGTCCATATTAGCTTCATTATCGTCTAAAATTACCAAAGGCTTATTGTTAATACATGGTTATCATCAGTCCGTTATATCTTGGTTTACAAATACTGTTTAACAAGTAGAACAACAAGATGCTTTCAGAACTACCTATGTATGTCTGATCATTCGAGATCAGGTTTCAACCCGTGAACCATAATCGTAATTCGGGGAGCGACGAATGTAATGAATAATTCCACAATTAATGGTAAGGTTGAACACGTTATGTTTAAACCTGAGTTGAATAGGTGAAAAGTACATGAAAGTCATATCAGAGACTATACGCTCTTGAAATATCTAAATAGAGAACCGAATTTCAATTGATAAATCAATATGCAAGCCCTGAAATACTTGAAGATATAACATAATGAAAAATATTATTGATTGATGTGTCCATGATGTTTTAGTCGATTGTTGTTTAAACACTGCACTAGAAGTTAAATATGGGCACTGATGATTAACACTGCAGTGATTCAATGGTAGACGTAATTAAAGAGCTAAGTCAGTCATTCACAACGTAGAAATTTGAACGTGCATACATAAGTTCAGATTGCCATACCACATTAGCACAGAGATGAAATTGTCAGTTCAAATCCTTTGATGGCAGAGACAATAGAGGTATTGGCGGTAGTGGTATTTTTATTCATCATCAATAAGTGCTAATTTTGGGATAATGAATAAACTTTACCGTATATAATACGATTACAGTATTTTTGATATAATACGTTTTTGAAGGCTTAACAGTTTCGTTAGAGAGATCTTATGAACCTAAACAAACGTTGCCCAGCCGTTTTTAAGTGTGCAGTTATTGCATTTGGAAATGCTTACCGAGTCCTCCCAGTTCTGACGGTTATAGGTGTTGGCACCCTTGGATGCCGCCATTTCAAGTCCCCGTAAAAATCCCGCCTAGGTTTATCGTGTACGCCTCAATATCCAATGTTATTGTTTTTAAGTACCGTGTTACAAATGATTTCATGATTTGCGTGTTGCGCCCATTTTGCGAAGTTTATAGATTTTTGATTGCTGGTATTCATGTAAGTCAGACCATCCATGTTAGATACCACTGTAGAGATCTGCTTACAATCAATTAAATAAAATGGCAGAGCTTAAAAGCACGGTCAACTAAGTAAACCTTTACGGCATTACTGTTTCAGAAACTTGGCTACCGTCAAAATCATATGATGGTTTAACTCGATCGTTCGTTCTTTTTATATTGTGGTACCGACGAATAGAACGTCAGGGGTAGTCATCCTATACCTGAAAACATAGTAACTAGACGCGCCATTCAGACAGCGAGATACAACTAACGGAAGTGTCAGTTGGTACTATGTTGGTCGAACTAATTGATTTTAAATAATTATTTAAGACTAACTTATTTATCCAGCATTGTCTCACAATATCGAGAACTGATTCACGTCCGACATTAACGCATTTGAATGCCGGATCAGCGGTTAAGAGGTTGAGCTTTCATACGTGAGACCAAAAATCCTGGGTTCAGTTTCCGTTAGCAAGGACTGTGGATGCACACTGCTGCCCAGTTCCACTGAAGGACGAAATGATCATCCAATGCTACCAGGTTCCCAACATTATTTCTTTCATGACTAGATAGTCCAATGTGTTTCCATTCACTTCTGATCATTTGGTTTACATCCATGCAGTTTTTCCTCTTTTTCCAATACATATATGCTCTTAGGCGTACTTAGGTTGAATGTCATAAGCTGTAATTCTACTGCTTCGATGATTCGGATTTACTTGATTCTGCAATCTGGTTCGGCAGAATGAAATATCTTCAATGTATCACGTATTTACAGTCTTATAACTCCCTACAAGTTTTCGCCACTATCAGGAGCTTATAGCTTGGAGGATGACAACGTATTTACATCATAGCGAATGCTAAAGCAGGGAAACTTTTCATCTGAAATGATTTTTAACCACGTGATGAATATTATTCTAGAAAATTTCATCTGGGTACACAATTCGTTTTAATGACATCTGATCAGATCCACTGATATGGATTGGTTGAGAAAGTTTTCGATTGTAAAGTGCTCGGCGTTCACTTTACTAATTTCCCACTTATCAAAACTCCTTCGCACCAGTTCAAAAAAGTGGAGTTCTAAATGGATAACTTCAAAGTTTTACTGTTATGACGTGCCAATCTGTTTGTTTTGCTAGCTTGACATATACGGCAATAGTACGAAAATGACGAACTATTTTTCAGGGGTTGCAGAATTGGAAAATTAAAAATATTCGGCAATACATTTTCCTAGTACTATCTGTTCACCTATCTTCCTACTATCCACTCGAATTGCCTTGATTGGTTTTAACATTTTGATAGAAATATTCATGTATATTAGTGTAAAGCCTGATGACGATCTAATCGAAAACAATATTGTTCGCTTACATGTGTTGTTCTAATACATCTTTAGTAGAATTAAAGGAGCTTCTTACCTCACAGGCTTCTGCCAACAGATCTAGATAAGAATACTTTACCAAACCTGGCTACACTCAACTACAGTTCATATAAAAATCCTTCACCGCGTTTTAGATATTCGGAGTAGTATTTTCGTTCCCCCTACATACGTTTACTAATATACACATTATATTCTTTCTTTTCGAGCATGATATTTAAAAGTGATCGTGATGTGAAATCTCTATGTCTTGATCCTACGAGTTGCCATGAGAGACTGGACTGCCGTCCCATCAGAAAATACTCCTTATATCGTAACATGTGCTAAGAATATGAAAGTAATTTTCTACTATTTGATGGAAACACTTCGAAAATGAATACTTGGGTAAAGTCATTTTTAGCTTAATTCAAGAGATAACCACGGGAATCTGAATCTGAACAGAGGTACTTCAGTTTGCTTATGGTATTGAGTGTAATACCCAAGATTCAGAGCACTTCACGAGGTGTGTGCCGTTGATCGCCTGACATTAACCCTTTCCCTACACCAGTGAGTCAGAATACGATAATGGCAAATGAAAGAAAGATATTATGGGAGAAATGTAACTCAAAAAAACGAATTCCACCTTGTGGGTAGTTTTTCTTTTTGCTAACTGACACACTTGTGGCAAGAGAGAAAATATTCCTATCACTCAAAGAATATAAAAAAACCGAAAGAAAAAGGATGGATCATTTCATTTTGCTCCAAAGATAAGTGAACAACCAGAAAACAGGTGTTACATAAGAGATAAAATAAATAAAGGAATATCAGTAACAGAAATGCCGGAAATTCAACAAAATGAGATAGGGGTAACGAGTTCACAAAGTACCAACCAAATTATAGCATAGTGACCACCATATAAACTATGTCACGTAAAATAAAAAAACCAGTTATTGAAAGACGTGATAACATCAAGTAAGTAGGTGGGATTTAGGATTAATTAAAAATATGAGAGTAATAATTACAATCAACCTCGAAATTTGAGCGGATGTATTAAAATAAGTATAACCACAAAAGAGCGAGCATTAATTACAGAAATGCAAAGGAACAGCTATAGGTATAAGCATATATGGGAAAAGTTTCTCCATATTTGTACAAGGAAACACAAAATGGAATGTGAATACAGCGAGAAAAATTATTTTTCACAGTACAATTACCGAACCATTTCTTAAACCCCCTACTGTTATCTTCAAAAAAGGTGGTTTCACTTTCCAACAAAATTGATATCTTGACGTTGAAAACTTCCGTCGAAAATCATGCGATACTGTTTCAAATGCTCTTGTCAAGTCTTTTCCCCAAACATTTGTAGTTAAACGCTTCTACGAAGAAAATACGAGTTGTGAAAAATAAACATTATTGTGCTCGTTTTGTTTAACTGTACCAAAAACACTGTTACGACTTCTTGCGAGCAACCTTCTCTTCGCGTTGCTGCCATCTTTCTCTATTTGCTGCTCCCCGTGTAATGCCAACGTTCTTCAATAAACAACTCAACCATGGATTTATTTTGTGTTAATATTCGTGACATGATCGTAATGAACATTTAGTGGTGAGCATAGTCAATCTGGTATCTGGATTCGCTCACAACAATTGGTGAGCCGACGTTTCTTCTGAAGTCAATTACGGTGAGCCTATTATTCATCTGTCACCATTTTTATAATGTTGCAATACTATTGATAATGTCTTTAATATATATTATACTTGCAACAACATTCCGAAATGGTAGATAGCTATAATAATAGACTCCGAGGTGCGGGTCATTGCATTTTCACCTGTTCCTGCCCGTCACTTCAGGTTGTTAGTTTATTTTACGTGCTCGATTTTCGCACTAACGCTAAGTAGTTGGTGGCCACAAGTACCCAAATTTTTGTCGTATCGTTTGGTAGCAGTAAGTCATAAGCTTCGATGCTTCGACCACGTGCTGCGAATGACTCTGTCATTCCTACCTACGGTACACGACAGCTAATTATCAACCTGAATATCCGACGACAGTATCTATGGACGTTCATCCCTTCTGATGTTCCCATAGCCATACTCGGTATCGATCCCTTACAGCACTATTAATTGCTGTTCGATTCACGTAGGCTGCGTTAATCGATACTTTGTCGAATATCAAATCCATGGTTTTTAACGCGCAAACAGATACTTACCGAATCATTAATATGTATATTTTTCGCATTACTATTTATTTCATGTTATATTCGACAAATTCCCCAAAGTAACGAAACCGAGGAGATTTAACTGGTGATTATTTATGTAGTAAGCCACATCGTCACCTGCCGACCCCCAGTCACGGCAAAACCTCGCCGACTGGCACTCGACAACTTAGTTTTCGTTAAGCGTGAATTTGACAGTTTACTTGCTATATGTGTTACTTCTCACAGTCCTTAAGACTCCTCTCTCCACTCTGTTCGCAGAAAGATGGCATTTGTTGTAGACGACATGGGGATTACAGAGCAGCAACGGCAGATATCCAGTGTCCCGCCTCCGAACTTGTATGCGGCACGACATTGCATCTGCCTAGGGGAATTTCTTCACACCACGGAGCAGCGATTTTATGTATATAAGATTACGTCCAACGACTATCCGCGTAGATGCCAATACTGCCTCCGGTGTGAACTCGAATATAGCATCGACAGTTCGCACTCCCTCGAGAGTTATTTACCTGTTCGCCCGTTTTCTTACTAGTAGATTCAGTACTGAACAACCTTGCGAAGGATCTCTTAACGAAAATACCTTCAAGGTTGATGGATACAGTCAGCATTGATCGTCTCATACCAGCAGACGTCAATGACAGTGACCTACCTGGTAAATCGAGATTCAATGCTGGACTCGTCCAACTCACTAGCGGGATCCTTATTTTTCCTTCTGACCCCACGCTAGCGAAATCAAAGACCTGATTCTCACGTCCCAGTCAGCAGCAGGAACCATCTGCACTATCTACGAATGAGACTCCGGTCTCACGTCCAGATCAGCAGACCACGCTGCACTTGACTGCGGATGAGAATGCAGGCTCACGAGGTACGCACGAGGCTACGGTCTCCGGTTCCCATAGCCGCGTAAGCCTAACTGTACGCTTTCTCGTCTAACTAACAATCAACTACGGGTGCGGCATAGGATTTTACCATCATACTACATGCATGCTACACTTTTCTCCCTCTTTCTTTGATTATTTTATCCCGAGCCTATAACTCCGACCATTGCCCTGTTGGTACCGTCGACTTTAGTCAACCTTGGCGAAAGCTGGCCTGATCACCCACGCTCTTGTCAATGCACTCAGTCGATTTCCTGGTTACGAATATATCTGGTATACGAACGGTTTCGCAATGGTCGTTTCTGGCTCCTGCGCTCAATCTGGTTCCGTCCTACGTCTTCAGCTTTACCTGGTCCGAACGCCTACGAACTCAATCTTCAGACTCTGGATACGAGCCACGCTGGTGTGGCACGCCAATCCGATAGACAAACTTGGCACGTCAACTCGAGCAGCATACCTGGCACGTTACTACAGATATAGTTCGACGTAGAAGACTATCGGTGACAACTCGAGCTTCATTGGTCGCTTCCTGGTCGTCAACGCTTCCGCACTACAACCAAATATTGGCCGACCTGCCTCCCCCCCGTCGAACATAGCCGCTATGTATCGAAAGTGTAGTGGAACGCTTCTACGAAGAAAATACGATTTGTGAAAAATAAACATTATTGTGCTCGTTTTGTTTAACTGTACCAAAAACACTGTTACGACTTCTTGCGAGCAACCTTCTCTTCGCGCTGCTGCCATCTTTCTCTATTTGCTGCTCCCCGTGTAATGCCAACGTTCTCCTTCAATAAAACCTTGTTATATGAATTTATTTTGCTTTTATAATCATGGTGGGATATCATGGAACATGTATTGGTGAGCATAGTCAATCTGGTATCTGGATTGGCTCACTACACATTTTTACAAACAGCCGAGTACTCGAAGAAAAGTAGAGGTTAAACACTTAGAATGCTTAATCCACGTTAGTGACAATAACGAGGAGTCTTTTTTATAATAAGAAAACAAATTACAGTGAGAGTGGAATAACACCAAACCCTGACCATATCATCTTATTGATAGTGATGGCTGAGGGAATATTTTCTGAGACTATGTGCCTCAGACATTTAGACGTGAGCATGATAAATTAATAAATATGTTATTCGAATGGTAAAGCTAATTGTTATTCCAAGCTTCTAACAAAGCAAGATACCATAGCCCTCACAATTAAGGAGAATATGTTAATTGAAATACAGATTACTTACTTTACTTTTACTTACGCCTGTTACCCCCAATGGAGTATAGGCCGCCCACCAGTTTTCTCCAACCAACTCTGTCCTGGGCTTCCTTCTCCAGTTCTGTCCAATGTTTGTTCATTCCTCTCATATCTTTCTCTATTTCTCGGCGTAGTGTGTTCCTTGGCCTTCCTCTTTTCCTTTAGCGTTGAGGGTTCCATATGAGGGCTTGTCTCGTGACGCAGTTAGGTGCTTTCCGCAATGTGTGTCCTATCCACTTCCACCGCTTCTTCCTGATTTGCTCCTCCACTGGAATCTGGTTTGTTTTCTCCCACATTACGTTGTTGCTGATCGTGTCTGGCCAAGGAATACGAAGTATTTTGCGTAGAAAATCAAATAGTAGTGAGTTAGGAATATTGAATTAGGTCGATTAAGCTGGTCAGATAGATAAGTTAATTAGTGGCGAGCGATGCCCTGGAAATATATCAGAGTTTAAAGAAGCTGTAATGAACCAACGGGCATCCTGGATTCACTTTTTAATTATCTATCATGGCGGAGAGTCGCTACGGATTTAGAAACCTGAGATCAAAACCTACCAAGATTTCAGCTACATTGTATCATCGTAACTATAGTGCACTCCTGTAATGAGTCCAGAAAAAAGACCACGTTTGATCTTTAGATTAGAGATAAGAACATATTTTGCACGGACGTATTGAGCAGATATTCGCCGCTGCCTCTTCATCATATCTGAAGACGTTCCCATTGACTGCAGTTCAGATGAGGTGAAAGATGAGTTTTACAGAAAGTTTTCGGACCTCCTCCAAAAAGCTAAGCGCTCTGATATAGTAATACTACTGGCTGGAGACCTCAATCCTCAAGTAGGTAGACTATGTGAGAAGGAAAGACACCTGGGTTGATCTTATGGTATCGTGGCTCACAGAACAGACAATGGCGACCGTCTGTTGCAACTGTGTTCAGATAACCGCTTATTTGTAGCAGACACTAACTTTAAGCATAAGGAACAACATCTTTTGACCTGGCGACCCCCAAAGCCGTCCTAACGCTGAACACAACTAGATCACATCGCCATCAGCTACCGATGGAGAGGTTCGATAGAGGACTGTCGCTCGTTCTGGGGCACATGTCTAGATTTAGATCATGCTGTAGTGCGAGTGCGTATTTGCATGTGACTTACTGGATGTAGGGAAGAAACCACAAAGAAACCTTTTACGGTTTTACTTAATAATCACAAAGCAACAAATATACTTCAGGATGCCCACCCTGAGGCAACTAGGAATGATTTCCGAAAAGGTGTGGAGACAGAACTTATGTCTACTAGAATCGATGGATTTCAGTAGCATCTGCCATCGATAAGGTCCAGTTCAATCGACCTTCAGGCACACTTCAGTCGCTCAAGATCTGCAGTCAACCTGAAAGGCAAACCGATGTATACCCGAAATTTTTAAGAATGGTGCTCCAGCTTAACAGCTAGATCGACTGAGATCTTAGGTGAAATTTGAGCGTAATCCTGTCTGACTGGTCTCAATCTATGCTTCTTCCAATTTATAAGAAAGGACAAAAGTCCTCTTGTGACAATCACAGGGAAATCAGTCCAACTAACACAGTATATAAAATATTGGCCTTTACAATACTCGGACGTTGAACTAGAGCTTGTGAATATCAGACTAGAGAAAAGCAGACTGGTTTCTGACCTGGAAGACCATATATTCACACTGCGCCAGGTACAAAAAAAAACACACGTTCAGACGTCCCACAGTAGTAGCATTTGATTGTTAATCGTGAGGATCTGTAGCAGTGTCACACATGAAAAGGTGTATCGGAGAAGTACATCAACCTAATACAAGCGCTCTACTCGAACACTACTGGTCAATGACTCGCTCAGATATATAACATTATCTTCGTCTGAATTTTCAAGAGTGGACCTTCTACTAGGGAGCCTAACCAAAACATGGCAAAAATCCACGAAATCACTAACGAGTGGATTGAGTCACGTTAGCAGATGTAGACTACCTGGTTGGGGTCCGCGAGATGATAATAATCGACGGTAGAACCCTGAATTACATGGCTCAAAAAAGTTCGCAACGGTGCAGGTGCATCCACCATCTGTGTTATCTGAAATTCTAATCTTCTGAATTCCTCATCACCTTTATCTCTTCGTTCTAAGTTTATTCCACTAGATTCTACTTCATAAATAATATCGTCAAACCCTAATCTTCTCCATTACTGCTAATACTTCTGCTACCTCTACCACTAAGGGATTCGAAATGACAATTGCATCTCTGTGTGCTAATATGGTATGGTAATTTGGAAGCGCGTACGTTCAAAGTTCTACATCGTAATTTATTGACCGAATTACATAGGGACAATGAAAGACATGATTTGTTGCCTTGCTTATTGCGATACAGATGTAATACTTCAATTGTTATGATAGAATATTCGCATATCCTAAATTCACTAGAGTAGAATTGGAGTGACTGAAGTCAGGGAGCTTATTAGATTTATTGACTTTCATGATCAACCAGATTATTCCATCGTTATATTATTAATCTTTGTGGATGGGTTATAACAAAGTTGTTGCTGTAACGACTACACAATCCACATAACTAATATCCGCATCTTCATTCGTACACCAATATTATTTATAAGGTCTGTCGTGAATAACAGTATGTATTTCTAAGTCGAATAATACTTAGAGTTCTAATATTACTAACCTACGCCGCTTAACACTAGCGGAGCATAGGCCGCCGACCAGTATTCTTCAATTTATCACAGGCTTTCCTTTCTAGTTCTGTCCAATTATTGTTCATTCTTATCACGTCTGCCCACAGTAGGTTGTTGTTGACGGATCTGAAGTATCTTGTGTAGACAACTGTTAACAAATACTTCTAAAATCCTCCAGGTCTCTGTTCCATACAGTAGAACTGCCTCGATATTTTTATTGAAAGTTATGACTTTGGCGTTGCCTGACAGAGTTGTTTTGAGTTCCCAATGTTCTTCAGTTTTTGAAATTCTGACCTCGTATATGTATCAGATCAAACATGCTCACCAATGTTGCTGCCCAAATACGTAAAGGTTTTCGGATGCTCCAAAGCTTCTCGGTCAGGTGTGATTTGGTTGATGCATGTAGTGTTGTAGGGGAGGATCTCGTTTTTTCCCTTATGTATGTTGAGACCTACTGCTGTTACACTGGTCTTCTCTTGCATTTGGGATAGGACAACTAGATCGTTTAGCTGCACCTGAGCATCCAGCGTACCCCGGGCTTTTCCCCTGATGTTGACGCCTTCATTACCTAGTCAACCACCACGATAAAGGGTGAAAGTAAGTAACATAGTTTGACACCGATTTTCACTTGGAACGAGGGTCAGATGTCTTGCATGCACAATATTTCAGTGTAGTCCATCATACATGTTTCGTATTATGTTGATATCTTCTCGTGTACGTTATAGTGTCAAAGAAGCCTCCAAAAATTCAGCCTGTTGATCTCGAAGTAGGGTATCTACTAAGTCCTTCACTCTGTTGAAGCTAACTATAATATAATAATGTGTCTTCGGTTTTAAACGTCATATACAGTAAATACCAACTGGAATACTCAGTCGACCAGTATTTCGATGGTATATCGCAACTCAACGAATAAATTCAAGTACAATATATTGTTCTGAAACACCAATACCATTTCAACTTAAATAACACATGAGAACGGTGGATTTCTTGACTATAATCGGCAGCTTATAATGTTAGCTTTAATTTAATATCCCTGCAATATTAGGATGATTTCATGCAAATATGTGGATCACTGAACATTCGCTTTTGATCTAATTACTCATATCATTGACGGATAATACTCTACAAAAAGCAGAAACGAACTCATAGTTAAGGCCATCCAACTAATCTGTTGGCATTTTGTATTTCACTTTCAAGTTCCAGACCGATCTACTAGATACTTGAGAAGACATAAATTTTTTCAGAAATTCGTCAGGGGAAAAGAATATCACACTTATTATGACAATATCCAATCGTCTGACATACTCAAAACTAGTATGTTGGCTTTTTAATAGTCTCACTAGGAAGATCATCATCACTATCATAAGAATTCAAATTTGTATATGCTTATCACGCGAATAGAATATTACTTTATCCAATCTTTGAAACCATATTAAAGATAAGTACTTCATTCATTCCTGAGCTGTCGATCGACATCCTAGCAACAGATTGGACGATCAAAATGGTACAAAACTACGTGAAAATGACAATGTGACAAGCGCTTTGTATATTGGACAATGACGCCTTCATTTTTAGACTTATTTGTTTATTGATACAGATCTGAAATAATTGCAAACAAACAAATGTGTCAATTGGATAGAGATGGAACTACCACTAATATTTTGCAAATGCATACATGTCAGGTAGTCTAGGAAGTGGATGAAATCATGAACAACCTCAAGAATATAAGTATATATAGGAGTCAAATCATATAGAAGTTTAAGAGGTGCGATAATTTTTTCGAAGAAAAACTATGAGAACATCTCACACAGAAAATATACATGCGATCTAACCAATAAAATGTTTATTGTATTTTGCATCAACTGACTGTCATAATATATTGTTCGAACCATCAATGGGAGAAGTGGGATTTTCAATACGGGGACGTTTGAACGAGTTTTGCAAGTTTCCTGTGCTATTGGTTACAGAAAATTTGGAGAGTGGATCAAGAAGATCTAAAGAAAGAACAGTAATATCATATCATAAACACGTAGTATATAGAAAAGTGAAGTTAACAAAAAGTGGGATTTTAAGAGATATAAAACTCCGAACCAAGCTATACAGAAAAAAGGATTATTAGAATAGATTTAGATACCGAATAGGAAGTTGAGGATACTGTAAACCGATTCGCATTAATTTTATAAGCATAAATTAGTGATTTAAAGTAACATCGAATAAGTGCATCTTAGTTTCGGTCTTATCGAATAAAAAAACAGAAACGACATGACTAGGAGTATTATTTGATTTAAATAATATAAGCATCCGGATGGTTAATTTTCGGTCACCCTATGGCTTTCGGCCATCACCATGAAACATCTTAACACTTAAATCTGAAAATTTTTTCGCCCACAGCAGTGTTTGTTCAGCTTTTCCTACGTAGCGATTGAGTAGTGGGATTTTTCCAGATGCAGTTGCTAACATCGTGCCTAACTCTCCTTTATCTGGGCTTGTGACCGACAGTATCTCCAGGGAGGGTTCTATGCGGAGTTTCCCTGAGAGCTATGAGCTACTAAATTCAGTTCTAAAATACATGTACATGTATATTTTAAAAAGATGTAGGATGAACATACTTATAACCTGTACAGCATCCTGAAAGACATTGAATGGATCCCGACTGATTGATTCACCATGATAATTAGCAGCATTATTCGCTACTTGATAATTGGGAAGCATACAATGATGACGTTTTCTTCCGTGTGTCAATTCATTACAAACTAATTGTGAAATACTTGAATGATTGACAAATGAACTGATAGGAGGAATAAAATCTATAAATAAAAAACAACATACATTAACATTGTTTCTAGGTAATTAAGGATTGTTTTATATTACTGGATAGCCTATTTACGTATCATATAATAGATATTTAACCAACTCTCACTACGGGATAATAAAAATAAGTAGAACTTGATGACCTTGTTTATGCTAATGTACTAGGACTTTGGTGGCTACTTTAAGTTTTGTAATACCGGGTGGGTTTGATAGGACGAAGTCAACACAGTGGGCCAACTCTGTTAGAAATAGCATACAATAATATTATGAAGTCAAAACTCTTAGATAACAGAAATATAATACTACAACAGCATTTATTGCGGCCATGTTAAGACATTGTGCGGTATACTGACATTTTCGATTTTCCATCTAGTCATGATGTGTTAACTACAACAAATAAAAACAGAAATTCTCGTTTGAAGCTAGTTGTTATGAACATCTTTCAGCAAATCATATCTGTAATTATTAGATGTTACAATTCTGGCATCAGACACGTAAAACTCCAGTTCCAATGTAAGATTAGCATAAAAATGTTAAACAAACACAAATGAATCACAGAAAGCATAATTTATAAACATTCATTTAGAACTGCAGAAAACTCATTCATCTAACCTATTGAGAACTAAACACATTTTAGAACTCAAGAAAATAATATCTTAATGCTTGGTTGTAGTTTTAAGTGTTAAGTACTAAGGAAGGTGGATAGTAGCTAGCAGTGGGACTCGGAACGCAAGTTTCGTCTAATTTGGAACCCCTCGGCTGGATGTACCTGCATCCCAGAATTGATGTGGACTCCAGGATTCGAACCCAGCACCTCACGTTTCAAAAGCCATTGTGTTATCCACGTAGCTACAGAGTTCAGATAGCCACTCGCTTGTGCAACGGGGTGAAGACTAATTTAACTGTATTTGCTGTTTGAATCTTCCTATTGATGTTTAGGACTGCAATTGATCAGTCTATTTGGCGTATGTGCGTCCTGTCCTAAATAGGGCGAAACGCGCGACTTGGATTCTACTGTCCACCTCTGTTAATAATGCTTGTAACCTGAAGTTAATATTGAGAGAACCCCCACATGATGCACATTTGCCAGATAGACTGATCAATTGCAGTCCTAAACATCAATGGGAAGATTCAAACAACCACTACAAATAAAAGCCAATTTAGTTGGTAGTAAAAATGTGAGTAGCCATAAGTTTGGTTAGAACTTCTCTTTTCATTTACTTAAATCTTTTGATACATTCACTTGTCGATAAGATCCTAAATGATGATCTTTAATAACTTTGTTTAGGGTTGTTGTGCTTTTCTATTTTGTTATAGACTTCCACATATAAAATTAGCTATCAATATCAAGGAGAAAACTTTCTTCTTCTTTTCGGTTAATAAGAAAATTCATGAAGTATTTAGGCAAACAGGAGTGAAAAAACATTTGATTTGGTTTTGGGATGTTATAATATGAAGAGATTATTTCCCAAAAATCTGTTACATAGAGGGAACGTGATAAGGTTTTATGTTTCTGCTTGATTAATAACAATTTTTATTTTGTGTGAACAATCCCGTTTATAATGGGAAAAAATCAATAATTCTGATGGGTGTTGAACCCCGAGAATTTTATTTACTTCCAGTAAGTATAGTGTATGAGATGTATATTTATTCCGAAAACGATAATGAAATATTGAAAATTATTAAGAAAATAGGAACTTGGAGAATCTAAAATACTAACGCACAACCAAAAGGAGATACTACTTATTATCAGTCAGGAAAGAGGTGGAAATATGGATGCGATCAAAAGTGGAACACAGATATAGTTTAGATGACAATTATAGGTTGCCCATGAATCTCAACCATTTACTAAATAATTATAACATAAATACGATACTTAGTAGTAGGTAAAACTTAATTACTTCACTGACGAGGTGTAAATAATTAGTGATTGGAGTAATGCAAGCCATAGATGGGATGCTTCTTTGTTCAAAATATTCATTATAGATGGGGTGGACGTGACAAGTTTACTGAATATTTTTAATCGTCGTACAATCTTATAAGCAGCCGAAAAATAACTAACGGAAAAAGTTTTAGGTAACTAGTTACATAGGATAAACTTGCAAAATCAACCAATTACCAATTACTCTAATTATGGGTTCAAATCCTACGAGTAGCAGGAGTCGTAGATGTCCATTGCTGATGGGTTTCATACGAGGACAGAACGACCGTCCGGTGCTTTCAGGTTTCAAATGGTGGCCTAACGATGATTAAATCACGATTCAAGTATTAATATTACCAAATAATTTTATGCCCTAGTGGTGTGTTGCAAAATAGTACGTTTGTTCCAGAATACAATAGACGTAAGTAGATTATCCGTATATTTTATTGTTAAAACATAAGCGCTTAAACAAATTACAGCTGAACTGAATGAAAATACGTCTTATTCACAAACCTGATTATCGAATCAGACAGATATATTAACCAAATACACAAACCAAGTTGGACAAAACAAAATGTTGAAAAAACTGTTTACAAGTAGTAGTCAGCGATTTTACTGGAATTTAACTACAGAAAACAAAGAGGTTGGTGTAACGATAGTATTCACGAATAAGGACTGGTGGTTTCAGTAAGTTAACCAACACATAAAAGATCAGATCTAACTTAAATCTAGTACATTCTAAAAACTAATAAAGATAAATCAGTTTCTTAAACAACTGCCATTTAATGATTTCAAGTCACAAAGAATAGGTTAGAACTAAAAGATTATATTTGACTGATAGGATTAATACACGTAGAAGTTTGAAAATAGAAGCATATAGACCGACAGGACGTCAAAGACGTAAATATAGATTAAATATGTATGCACTTTTATGAGATCTATATTATCTCCTCTCCAATTGTAGATTACAATTGCCTCGTGAAAACTAACAAGAAAGTCTATAGAGTTCATACCAATAGTCGACAGATTGATAAATTTATATCATAACTTAACCTGGTTACACTTATTTTACCTAGGACGGATAAAAGGATACTAGGAAGCGTGACACATAGACTCGCCAAGCATATACTTAAGTCAGAAAACACATGTTAGCATTACTAGGATTGATAAGTGTTCACCTTTTTATCAACTGAGTAAAAACCACTGACTAGTGCCAAAGGTTTGACAACATATCACTTAACTCAATAGCTTTGATAAAAGCCAAAGATATGTTAAAATTACCAATGAATAAAATCCTACTCATGTTTTCTCATTTTTCACCAGCTAAGTGTTCGAGTGAACTGCATCCCAGTAAAGTCTATTATAAATGGCGCACGCAAGATATCCTTTTGCAGCAGTTCGCTACCTGAAGTAGTGAAACGCCATAAGTGATTCAGGTTGCCGCAAGCCAATCGATCCTTCTGTATCCGTGCCGAGATTTTGTCACACACCAAGCCATCAGCTCTGATGAGACTCCCAAGATAAATGAAGCGGTCAACACGCTCACAAACTTCACTCCCTATCACTAGTTCAGGTGCCGATGCAACTCAATCCTGAAAAAACATCTTGCATTTCGAGGGGGAAAACCGCATCCTGAACATGCTTGCGTTGTTGCTTAGAGTAGTCAGAAGACTGCACTTTGTCAGTGTCTTCACTGAATAGGACTATGTTATCAGCATACTCCAAGTCAGCAGGCGGACGGAATCCACTTGAGGTAAAGAATTCCGATGACAGTTCGCCATAAACTTCCACTCGCAGCAGTGTACTTCTTTGGTACACCTTTTATTGACAGACACTGAAACAGAATCTCGCGATCGACACAGTCGAATGCCGCTTTGAGGTGGGGAAACACTACTATTATGGGGCGTCTGAACGTTTTTCTTTGTTTCAAGACCTGACGTAGTGTAAATATGTGGTCTTCCAGGTCAGAAACCAGTCTGCTTTTCTCTAGTCTGATCTTCAAGAGCTCTAGTTCAGCGTCTGAAATTTGTTGAGGCCAATATTTTAGATACTGTGTTAGTTGGACTGATTCCCCTGTGATTGTCACAAGAGGACTTTTGTCCTTTCTTGTACATTGGAAGAATCATAGATTGAGACCAGTCGGATGGGATTACGCCCAGTTCCCAGATTCTACCTAAGATCTGAGTCAATCTAACTGCCAATACTGGTCTATCAGGACCCGCTGCTCTCTCTCGCTTCAGATTTCCTATAGCTATCTCAACTTCGTAAAGAGTCGGAGGACTTATATCGACATGCCATTCAGGATGACTGGAGATCGTAGGCGACCGAAGTGTGGCTGAAGGCCAGATGAATTGATCGCTGTAGTATTCTGCCCATCGATCCAATTTCCTGGATTGAGAATGAATCATAAGCCCATCTTTTTCTGAGATAGTTTCGCTAATAGATGGATTTCTTAAAGGGTACCAGGAAACGAACATACCAACGAGGACTTTCGATAAAGCTATGTAAAAGTGAAGCTGGATGTGAAAAACTGCATCCAGCCAGTGATTTCTAGTTTGTCCTTAGTTTTTGTAGTGAAAATTAGAGGAGTTATCATGACTGATGTACAGGAAAGATTATTCTTAAAACACTACCATAATAGTTTTATCGTAGTCAGGAAAGATTATTCTTAAAACACTACCATAATAGTTTTATCGTAGTCAAGCATTATTCAGTACCAGTATTGATGATCAAAACCTTCAACTCTTCACTTTTTAACAATTATAAGCATTTAGTAAGTGTGATCATTTGCTTTCGAGCTTTTGCCAGGGACATGTGAACCTTCAGCAAATAACTTCCGTTTCTCCTACCTTCAGTTATCGAATTTCTAACAAGTTTTCTTATAGCTGTTATTTTTCTCTAAACCATATAATAAAACAAGAGTCTGCGACTGCCCTGGTCAAGTCATTATAACTAGCAACGTTAAATATGAGAATAAAACAATACCTACAAGTAGTTGATACGCGAATACAATCAACAATTGATAGCATAAAACTAAAAAAATATAAAGTTTTAGATGTAGGAGAAAAAATATATATTAAGGTGATAACATGGTGAATATTAGCGATAATATTGCTAAAGATCAAGAAATACAATACTCTATACCTTCAGATGTGGATAACGAATTAGGCACTATTGATTTTACTAATTCATCTTCGTTTCCAGTAGACCCATCTTTATTGAGGCCACCAATGACACCATACAAATGCGAATCAGCTAAGACTGTGTTCGAAACAGGAAAGAATGTTTGTTTACTTTTGGAGCGCTTATTACGGCAACGCCTGTGACCACAGTGATCCAGAGCAATTCGTTTAGATAAACGCGGACAACCAACACAATGACGTGGACGTTTTCTTTGGAGTTTCCTCGAATGACCAAGCGTTTCAGTGCTTCTAAGTAGTAATGATTCTAAAGGCACATAAACTTCAACTCCGTTATCTCCTGTAACAGTTTGAATATTCTCATAAGCTAAGTCTCTCAAATGAAGGCGTAGATATTGAGAACCGACAATCTTTCCATAGCTTAAAGCAGCTTCTACAGAATTCGCAGATCCTAAAGTAGTGAAAAGTAACGAGGTTCAAACAACACATACGATAAAGAGACAAACACTAATAAAGGGCTCGTATGGTGACCGTTTTACAGGGGTTGAAAAGAAAAATTATGGTTCGAACAAACGAAACCGTAAGTTTTTCACATTAAATTTCGAGTGACCCATTAACCACGTTCAAGTTTTTGTTAGATCAACATTCGATGGATGTGACATACTTGCCTATAATCAAATAAGTGTAATGGGTGTGAGCTTCATAAAATATAATTGATAGTTGAAGACAGTTGAGTCGACATTAGATGCTGTTAAGGAGAGAAACGTCTAAAGCTCCGAAATTTTGAGATCACAAAAATATTCTTTACCTTTAGGACTACACAGGTGACACAGATGTGTCTACCTACCTACGGCCTAAAGGTTAAGATGTTCGATCTTCAGCCAGTAAGTTTCAGGTCTGGATGCCATTTCGTCTACTTTGGTTTAGACTACCGTCCATCAAGTACGTGGACAGAAGTTATACTTTAGGACTGAAGGCCGGTTGCCGAAACCGAAATGCGTAGACAACGACCCGAACATAGGGATAGTGGCTGGAAGTCGAACACTTTAACCACTAAGCTGTGACTTCATAGTCATTGGGTAGGGGGTGAGAACAATGTGCCTCAGTCTTCTTAACTGGTGAATTTCAAGAGCTTTTCAGATAGCATAATTTATCTCGTCACTTACGGTCTTACCCATTTACTTGTTTTGTCTTAATGTATCAATAAATTCTTTTTCTGCAGTCATAGACTTGATGACAAGCGATATGATGTATGATCACCCGACTGTGTCACGAGAAAAACCCTAACTTCACATTCTCAAGGCCAAATAACACGTTTGGTTGTGAATTAAGGGTGAATGCCGAAATAATGAACAGCATTTGGGGACAAATGGAAAGGAAAATCCAGGACAAAGTTGGTTGGCGAATCTTGGTCAGTAGCCTATGCTTCAGGAAGGGTAATAATCGTAAGTAATATATATGATGTATAGAGCATTCGTTAGCAGCTGAATACTCTATATTACCAAGTAGTAACTAATGCTGTATTTGCCTATTTCTTCATGCGAATCGCACTCCATTGCACAAGTAGAATGCTGCTAATGATCTGATTAACTCGACATTGCATGTACTATGTTTTGATGTTAGGTGGTTGAGTGAAGTTAAGGGAAGACCGTGGTTTTATGTTCTCAACTATTTGGCACTTGTTCAGAAGATATTTGCAGTCCTCAGGGTAATCGATCCTTCTGTGGAATCCGTATCAGTCTGAGACGTTATTGCTGAGATATTCATGCTTTTAATGACATCATGTTAGACTGAGATACTTACGTTGACTGACCACTGAGTAATGATTGTCAAGTTCCTGAGTTGACCGACTTCTGTCGGTCCGATCCGAACTGTCATCTGTATTGATACTCTGGTGTTTAGTTCATTCATTTCGTTTCTCAATCAGCTGATATAGAGTGTAATAAACTTTGTCGGAACAAATTTATGTTTCATGTTGTCTGTGACTGAGGTAACTGTTAAATATGCAACGAAACTCAGTGGAATAATGCCCAAATAGTTGCAAAGCTGTAAAGCATTGCTTATTACTAAATTAAGTCTACTAATTTGCAACCATTTACTTTTACCAGTCGGTAATAATACAATACTCTGTGTACGAGATGCCAAGAAGGAAAGCAGAAAATTTATAATGGTACAGAATGGTTTGATGCGATGATGACATATGAAAGCTGTGATCCTGCACTTGGTACTTTATGTCACGAAATATGAACATACTATGGGGGATGCCAAATTAAATATTACAGATCTCTGAGACCTTAAATTCTTTACCTAGCTGGGTTGTGTAGTTATAAAAAGCTCATCTTAAATCCTAACTTTCCCCTAAAACAAACCACGAATGATATTCAGTTTTGACTACAATAAGCTTAGAGCAAATCCAACAAACTTACGTGATAGAATTCTGTTGAAAAACAGAACCGGATCTACATGTTTTGTGACAAGATAAAGGTGTACGGTCGTCTCACTTTCAGATAACTTGATTGCGTATGCCGATGCATGGTAGTCATCCCAAAACTGCTACAGCTTAGAACTTTAAGATGTTTTTGGTGTTCACAAACACGTTTAAATTTTATACCTGAGAGGTTAGGATTTAGTATGAATCCAGAAACTGAAGTTAACGTTACAGATAATTCCACGAAGTTCATATTTTCGTAAATGTATGAATTCTTGAGATAAACATAATATATTATGGTAAAATTCCTTTTAGACTGTCACCAAGCTTTTCTCTCTTGACATAGTTTGTTAGAAATAGACCAAAAACACAGGATACAGAGAACGTGTTAGAGTTCTATGTACTAAGATATACGAGAGGATTACAGCACCATCAAAGTGACGAAAATAGTTATCGGAAATCAGTGATGAGTGGGAACACATCCCAAGTAAAGCAATATACATCTATATATGTTTGCAATGCACAAAGCCTTAGTCATCACTGGGAAGTTAATATTATGAGGCGAATGCGGGAATTAAAATAGTCTGCAATTGGTTAGTCAATCTGAAACCATAAGGCCACACCCTGGAATAAAGAAAATTTTGAAGGCTGAGGACAGTAAGCATGGCATACATACTACTCATAGTTCGTGATTTATCTTTGTTGTTTTGGATGTGCCTTAGATGCAAGTTTTTATGCTGTAACTAAAACAGGGTTCCTCGGGGAAAGAAACTAATTCACCGAGGAACTGAACACCCTGCTTCTAAACACAAGACTACCACGAATCCTCTGGTTTCAAGGAACCCAATGTTGAAAACCATGAGACAAGTAGTAGCATTGGCGATTATTGCCTGCAATCCAGCAGTTTTTTTGATTCAGGTAAACTATAGAAACCAAGCATTTGTATGAGTAGAGGCATTGAGTATTACGTTAATGCGACGGTACACACAAAATTATGAAAGACAAACCTCTATAGAATCTCTCGATTGAGGATAACGTATCCAGTAAACTTTGGAAGTCAGCACAGTGATCAATTTTACCTGCGAAGTATAAATGATTTTGAACCCAAAATATACCTTTATATAGCTGGCATAGACCGGTTGCAGCACTTGCGAAAAATTCCCATACTTTTATGATTAACCTGCTTGGATCATGGTCCTGTGGAGTATCACAGCTGGAATCCATAGAGGAAAAAGAACACTGAAATTGGCACGGTTCAAAATTTTATATGACTGATTAGATTAAACACATGTGGGTGTATCGCAACATGAATTTTTTGTCACGTTACCTTTTTTAAGAGGAAAAGTATTCAGTTTGTTGCTATAATTGACATTAAAGTAAATCTTAAAGCAGTCCCTCAAAGTAAACGATGATATAAAGTAAATGCGAAGACCTCTTGTACAAGATTAGACTTTGAGTACTATCACTAAATTTTTGGCCGGTATTTTCTTTAGTTACTGGTTCATGGATTTTTGTAAGCGCTGTTTTTTGTTCCCTTTATGGGTGTCCTTTTAATTACAATGAATTACTGACGGTTTTTAAAGTAGAATGCTGACCCTTAGTATTCGTCACAAAGTTTCAAGAAAGATGAAATTTCTGTCCATTCTGTAACATGTTAGTAGAGAAGACTTTGGTTCCTAAAAAATATTGCACGTGATCTATTCTCAGTTTGATAAACTGAACACATGACCAGGAGATTATTTTCTTATGACATTAACCAAAACACTTTTAGCTTCATGTAGCTGCAGATAAGTCCGAAAGATAAATGGTTCTATTGTTCCTCATTATTGATGCTGATCTCATTAGTTCTACTGAAGAAGCTCTGTTTCGCATTCCCACCAGATTGCCGTTGGATAAGTCATCTAATGCATCTCCTCGCATCAACCATCAAGCATAGTTCAGTTACTTCTAGACATCCCAGCCATCGCTCAAATGTATCTTCGATCCTCCTCATATCTCACTTCTGGTTTGACTTCCTTTCGGGTGTTTTCGATCCAAAAGTTGTTAAGGCCAAAAATGTTGTCGAAGTCCGAAAATCCGTGATATCCTCATTGGTGAGCCTTATATGGTCTTGTACACTCAGCGCGATACTGCGATTATGCTCTTTGTCACAATTTATGTATGTCTACATATTTTTCCAAATCTTGGGGCTGTTTTTGTTTCCGAACTTCCTGTCCCGTTTTTGTATGTATGCTATTTTAATGTTGGAATACACCTAGCTTCAACGATTAGAAATCTTGAGCCAGCGGACTAGTAACACATGCCATTCCGACCTTAAAAAAATTGTAGTATGGTTCCGCTATGCAAAGGCTAACTTCCACAACAGTGAACTGAAATACGGCTCGGATAAAAAATGTTGTTACGTAAGCGAGAAGCCATTGGCCAACAAAACTTTGATGAAGCCGTTCTCGTCTCATTTCAAAATATAATAATAATGAAATAGCGACTTCTGTCAAACGAATTCTGGAGATCAATAGAACTCGCAATTCCGAGGTTTCTTCGCAGAATCAAACACCTCGACCGACCCTAAATAATTCACGCACGTTTGTGATGCGAAAGAGTATTTTTACATGTTTAACACAACCGTGAACTCTTGAAGACTCACCGAGAGGGCCCTACTCGAAAAACATTTGCTTCTAAACTTCTGAACTTCACCTTGGTGATGGTACCGCGATACTAATGAGAAATCTCCGAAAACCTCCAGAATACCTTGCAGTTTTCCTGACCTTAGATCTGTCACAAACACACCGAGGAACTCTGTCGGCGCGCGTCCATAGTAACCGTTTCCGGTCGATTATGCCGTGTTCTTTTCATCTTTGTCGTGAGAGCAAACTTTCGCAGCCTTGTCGGTACTTGCGCAGAAGTTGACATCCTTCCAGTGAACACAATCGTTTACATTAATTAGTTTTTAATCTACAAGCAACAAATGGAGAACCGATCATCACTTGCAGTAAAAATATTTACCTCGAGGTGGATTTCCGCAAAACCATTTGCTGACTTTTCGTTGAATTTGACATGTCAGTGCTAATCATTGGTATGGACTGCGTAGACATCATAGCTTGCTCATCAACTCAAGCAAGCAGAAGATAGTTTACGTTAGTACTAAACCGCCTGTGGGTGGAGTCTCATTATCCGGTTTCAGATGTTACCTAATCACCGTTCAAGACACAATAGACCCGTCCTGTCAACTGCCGTATGTGAGCAGCAATGTTGCAAATCACGTTTTTATTACAGCATCATCCGTATTCTGAAAAGCCTGATAAATGGCTGCTTTAAAGCTAAGACTCACAATAACAAACTTGACCACATGAAGGATTTAGGGATTCTACAAACAGTATCGATTGGCTTAGACGACTCATCACGAAAATTACATCAGGTCGTCACCCGTTACCACACATGCACACTTCCTTGAAAGGCATCACTGTCTTTTCAGAAGTCCACTTGGCCAAATCAAACATATGTCTGTGGAACCATTCTACCAAACCATCAACTTGAGGATACTAGGCGGTTGCTCGGAATCGTATGACTGCTAGAAGTATAATAAGACAGCGGGAAAGGTTGGATTAGAAACGGCGTCCACTGTTGAAGGGCTATCGAAGTTCGCTGCTCATCGCGGGCTACTGTTTAAGACGTGATATCCCTGATAGGTACTACTTCCTGTAACTGTGTGAAACAGCCCACATGCATTAAGAAACAGACGGATAAGTTTGAACTTAATAGGAATCCTACCAAATGAAGATGAACATGGTCAAAACAAGTGTCGATAAGTGCAATAAATCCAAGGGACATTTTCGTGTTTAATGTGACTAGATTTCTGGCAGCTTACACTAGAACGTGCCCACTTTTTCACGTCTTTGTTCATAGTAGACCAGCAAAATCCTTCTGCTATCAGCTTGATGATTACTCGGACATACGGATGAGAAAGTTTATGTAACGCGTTGAAGATATTCCTATCGACAATGTCTTGGATGATACCCACCCGTAGATGTCTCAGAAAGTAAGTTGAGGCCGGGCTAATTTAAGATGGTCAACTACTTGGAAACAGTTAGAAAAAGTTAATCGGCACGTGGCGTCCCCAACTTGATTGATTGTTTCAAAATTATGTTGTTTATATGAAGTAAAATGCAAGATGCAGACCTTTTGTCTACAGATGAGCTAAGGGAAAAGGTTAAAGATTATGGTCAGTGAAAACCGTGAGTTCTCAACATTCCACAGACGTCTTGAAGCGTCGCACAGCACAATGCATAGCTATGAGATTATTGCCAAAAGTTCTATGTCTTGATCCACAGTTTGTAACCGTTTCGAGAAGAACGCAATGAGTTACAATCTACTTTTTACGGATTGCTGAGTCCGATGTGTTGACTGCTACATTAACAAGTGCTTTGGTGTCAGGTGGTGCTACTTAGGTTGGCTGTGCGATACTGTCCTTGACAGAGAAAATCGCTCTCTCCGTAACGCCGTTAATGTCAGTGATTTCCACATTTTCACTTAGATGGTCAACTGGAGGTTGCATAAGAGACGCACGATTTGGTATGAACCGTCTTTAGAAACTCAATAGTTCATTGAATGTCAATAGTCGCTTGAAGGTGGTCGGTGTTTTCGGAAAGCAGCTGAAACATTTTCTGCGGTAAAAAGAGAAACATTGGTAAATTATTTTATCATAATTTCATGCATCCCAAAGGCCCTGTCTCATCTGCTCCCACTTGACTCTTTGGATGTTTCCTGAACCATTTCAGCCGGAAAAGAATTCCTAACTTTCACTAATCCAGAGGTATATTTGTGCTTACAGTGCATCCTGTTATGTCTTTCTTCTGATTCCTAAGTATTCTTTCTTGTGTTAGTGTTCAGGCTGAGCTGAAGTAAGAGTTTTAGTGTGGGTTGAGGATTATTCCAATTGTAATAAGTTACATAAACGTCATTCTTGAGACGCTACTACTCGGATTAATGAAGGCACTGCGATAGCGTGCGCTCTTCTTAAACATGGGACTGGAAATCTTGATAAGATTTAATTACGCACCTTCTGATAGGTTCTAATGTTTTCTAGTCATCCGAATCGGTGGAGGAAATACTATATTTCTTCACCATGAATGGGGCTGAAGAGAACTGTTACGCATTGCTCAGAATGTTTTACCGCCAAATATACTTCAAAGTTATTGATCCAACCTTTGCTCGAAAGGCCTGAAACATGTTACTATTTGAGCAAGGTCTTTTACATAAATCAAGTAAAAAGGTCCTAGTACTGAACCTTGGTGTATCTCACTTGGAAATTTTGGAATTAATGCTAACCTTAAAGTCGATTGTTTAGATATTAGGTGAACCAGTCTAACTAGTTCGACTTCGTATCCATCAGAATGATCTTACTGATGCGATATATGATGGATTGATTTTCGGAGCATTCTTCCCGTTACAACCTTCCTTTCTTGATCAAGGATGTTTGTCTATTTCTCCACTGTTGTCAGTCGGTTTTTTCAGGAGTGGAACTTCCATGAAACAGCTGTTTAGGGGAAACGAAGGTTACGTCTAATAAGTAGCCTCACAGACTGTCACTGTAGTGGACTCCAGAACTTTCAAAATTATTGAGCGAAGTGTTATCAGCTAGTAGCTTGAGGCTTCACTGTGTTAACGTTCCTCAAAAAAATGGTGTGATGCGCATCAACTGCTGAATGTGTGACTTAGCGAATGTGAAAATATTGCACTAACTGGTGTTGCTGAGAATGTACTAAGAGTGCCTGAGTGAATCACACGGGGTCCAAGAGATAAGTCTTCGGTTAGATAACGTAGTTTTTGGTAAATAGGGTAGGCAGTTAGATTTAATGACATGAGTAGCCAGACAGAAACAGTCATATCACTACCATTAGTATGGCCCGGAGCATAAATTCATATCACTGATGAAGAAATGGATTCATTTTCTAAAAAATCGAAGTACATATATAGATGGATATTCGTACACATTATTTGATAGCCTGAAAGAATTTTCCCTCCGCCTATGCTTTTAAATTTAAATAATCAGTTTGAGCGATTATTGCGTATCACGTTCAGGTCTTGGGAACCGCATATAATAATTGTTTTTTCTGAGACTCTTCGTAGGTGAAGCTGTTTGTTAATTTAGGTTGCTAGTTTGAACTCTCGATATATATTGCCGGCACTCGTTCGCTTATTTTCTGCCAAGTTATACTTTTCAAGTTTTAGCATTCGAAGAATATGGTTACTTGTGACTATGGGTTGCTTGCAACTTTTGACGGCTGTTTGTGAGACATGTAATATGCAAGATTCTGCCTAGTAGGCAATCCCGGCGAGCGTTCATTCGAAGCTAAGTGTGAGGTTCTCGGCACACCCGCTGTTTTAGTTCAGCCTTCCTATTAAGACTAAAGCTTATAATGGTGTGAGTTACGTTTTCGGGAGAAGTCAGAATTAAGAGTTAATCACCTGTGAATTCCTTGTTTATTAATATGCAGTTCAACTGTGACGGTGTGAGATCGTTTTCTCCCCGCTTTACTAACTTCACATTTGGGAATAACTCTGATCTTCAGTAAATTGATTACTTCGATTGTACATGTGCTCAGTGAGTTTGATTGTAGCAGTCGGAAGTCTTATAAGAATGTGATACGAGTGTATCCAAAATGAACAGAGGGATTACCTATCCCGAAATGCGATCGTCGTACTAAGTGTCCTCAGTGAGCTTTCTGTTGATAACTCCATCTATACATGAGTTAAACATTCTTGCTGAGAAACATACAAATTCATCAAGATTAATAAACTACTGAGTGTGAAATTGATGCCACACTAATCAGGATCATAAATAAAGGTTTGCCACGTCTTTTGTTGCAGCTTTTCTGACGTTGTGAAACGAAGACATGCTAGGTATTACCAGCTCCCGATTCATGATTTGGAAAGAAACACATCGTTGTGTCTAAATCATGTTCTTTTAGTACGCTGGTTGATAGACTTGTAGGCTGCAGCAAAAAAACAAGAAGACGGAATTCCGATTGAGAGTCCACGTCTTGCATGTCTGAGTGAGTCCAAGTAAATGGAGAGACAACTTATTTACATGGGGTTTTCAGAGGAAGCGGTCCCTGCTCACGTCTGTCTCTCAGAGACATCCTACTCATAATTAATTATATCCTTTTTATCAAAATCGAAATCATTGGATCAAGATCATCGGGATATTGGATATTGGAAAGACATGAAATATTGGACTAAGTCGTTTTAGTAGTTTTTGGGAACTGCGCTACAATCACCAGACGTGAGCTTAGTGCATCCACTGTGTAAGCTTAACTCCTGTTTTACACCGTTGACAGCAAATCCTATTCAGTGCTTGCCTTTTTAATGATTATTCGTTCATGGTTCTAGTGGTAATAACTTATTGTGCAGATATAATAAATAACGTTTGACTTTGTTGATATGCATCAACCATAAGTCAGATCAGCTTTTCATTAAGACTAGGTTTACCGGAAGTGCGCCTGCATCAGGGTCTCCTCATTAGATTTAGAGATTACTATCGCAAAGTAATGACGAAAATTTGACATTGTTTAAGAGTTCGTGCACATTCCACTTTCAGTTTGTTCTTAGGATAATGGGTCGGCAGACTTTGAGACTTTTTTTCTATATAAGATATAGCTTCTCCTTTAAAGTGATAGGGCTGATAATATTTGTTCGAGTAAGGTGTTCCAGTCATACTACATAAGAGACGAAATTCCCATCTAATTTTTTCTGGCTGTGCTTTTTGAATCTTCTTACAGTGGCTTCGGAGATGATTAGTCCAGGAGAAAGCATAAGAGTGAAAAATCCTAACGATGAAGTCGTTATTTATGTTACAATGTGCCAATATAGGATCACCTCGCGTTCTACGATAACAGGAAAAAGTTTGGGCGTTTTAAGCGCTGATCGTAAGGAAGTCTGGAACGATTCGTCACTTAATTCCCATACGCTGGACACGTATCTCTAGTCTGACATGAACCAACTGCTTGGCTCCAATACTCTAGGTGACGTAGATGGGGTGTAAAACCCTAAACAGACCCTGTTCAAATCATTCGGTTGCTCGGCAATGTGACCGTAACGCTGGGCAACCTTTGGCGGCTGCTGCATTACGATGTGGGGTTGTTTTCAAGTCACAACTTATTGTTATTCTTAAGTCTTTGTGTTCTTGTACGCGTGGTGGCGCTAAGTAACTATTGTCATGTCCGATGTGCATTAGCCGCTTCCTGAGATTAATTTCCAAGCACCAGCTATGGAACCATCTAAATATTTCGTCCCTGTCAGCCTGGCGATCAAAATGATCAACTTCACTGTTTATTGTTCTCTAAATTTTGGCATTATTTGCAAGCAAGTGTCAACGAATTAGACAGTTTCGGTAGTTCATTGATGTAGATATGAGAAAAATACAGGACGTAAGGTGGTGCCTTGCATTACATCATTTTTAATCATTTTCATTCAAATAGTGTCCCATTTGCTCTCACTGTCCGTCTCCAACCACGGAGGGAGTTTTTTGCACTTGTACTGCACCTGTTTTTCCAAAGCTCGAGCGTAAGAAACCTTGTGAAACGTTTCCCTAAAACCTATAAATATCACATCTGAAATACCGTTATCTTGGGTTGCTGTTCAGTTCTTTTTTACAGTTAGTAAGTTAGTTAGACATGAGTGTTATTTGGAAACCAGTGTTGCTCAGGAGTTAACAGATTGTATAATTCTACATGACTTAGTAACTTGGTTCGATTTATTTTTTCAAACAGCTTAACTACTATGCTGGTTAGACAATGTCTCTTGCCATACTCAAATATAGAGCTAATTATAGCATCTTAGCAATCCCTAGAGAGTTGAACTTGAAAAACGGAGATGTTAAACATCTTGATGGCTTTAGCAACGTTGTTGGCGAGGGATGATTGCAACTGATCAGGATCCGGTGGCTCACCAGGTTTGAGGTTAATGAGCAATTAAAAAAACAGCTCCAGTCTCTTGTACGGGTTCTATGGCTACTTTCTGGAGGATGTGGTTATGAGAAGTTTCGTAAACAATACCTGCAGATAAGATCTCGTTGGTATGTCTGAATTTTCGTTCAACGATAATGAAGGACTTTCATCACTACCTTTTGTTCCTTGTTTATTGTGAGAAAACAGTCGTGTTTGGTGAGTACAGCTACTGTATATAAATAAAATACCAACAGTAAATGACCTTAAACAGTGTCCTGCAGTATTCCACGGATAGTTAGATTCCCAGAAAAGCCTTTGAGACTTAGTTTTAATCTCTATCGATGACCCATCAGAAAGTCTCTGGTTCACTTTAACCTAGGTCCAAAAATTACTGTATTTTTCAGCTTCCACAGTGGCCTATCATGTATCATATTGTCGAGCGTTTTACTAAAGTTCACATACACATTGTCTTTTGACATTTCCCTCTCAGATGACTTAGACCATCTCTGTCACTCCCGGGAGGTTTGTTATATAACTGTGTTGTGGACGAAATAGTTGGCTAAGTGGTCTGTACCATTACAGTTTTAAGGTCAATATTTTTCCATGTAAGTGAGGACATTACGCAATAATGTACGAAGTAGCATAGAAATTATCAAAGACTTTGCAGTCATGAGGGACGAAAGTTTGTAAAATATACTGATGGATTCTAGGGCAGTATCGTTATCTGATTAGTATTTGAATATCTCATTTCTTCCCTAAGACATTTCCAAGAATATTTTGTTATCTTCAAGTTTTCTGTATAAATAGATCACGTGAATCTAAACAATCGCCGCCATAGCATATTGGCTGAATCAAATGTTTTAAGAGTCCACCCAAGAGCCACTAGGATTTCCCACCTATTTCAAGTTTCTGAAACGCTTCTCGAAGTTAAATAATTAAAGATATGAGTTGAGTTCTTCACCTATTGGGATAGTAGTTTGATTATAAATACTGTTAGATCATGAATGACATTGCAAACTATCTATAAGGGAATAAATTCCCTTCAGCATTTTAAGTGTCACGATTATTAACCGTTCAATGTCACGTTCGCAACAACGTATAGTAAACTCGAGGAAACCAGGTTTTCATCCCTAGTGAAGTGTATTGTCTAGACCCTGTCCTCCAGTTTGTGGAATGTGGATATTATCTGGCATTCTATGCTGAGCATATCTTAATTCATAGGGTTATTAAACTCACTTGATCGGGTTGTGTTAGCGTCCGATCCCTAAACGAATTTGTAGGCAATATATAGACAGTAAAATAGAATTCCGCATAAAAATGTAATCGATTGAAGTCTTCATTCTTTTTAATCAACATAAGAAAAAGTCAAAAATATCCTCATACTAAGTTGAACAAAGATGAACGATCATACCAAAGGCTCTAATAAAATTGATTGTCAGGACTTTTACTTACCTAGCCAACGGCTCCCAGTTCCTCGATCCATTTAATCTTGTCATAGATATATTTGTCGCAATAACAACTTTGCACGTTTTATGGATTAAAATTATGTCTAGGAACTCAATAGTCATCTTTGAAATTTGTTTGCTTGGGATGTTGCGAAACCATAGCTTAATGAGTACCTTGAGTATCACAGGAGAATATTTAGCTCGCAGTCAGGCAGTTAGTTACAACGTAGAACTTCGTACGCACATACGTCACTTCAGGTTAGGATTTTAGAGAACAAAATGAATGAATGCACCTGCGCCATTGCAAACTATTTGGAGCCATGTCGTTCAAGGACTCTAACCATCGATTACTATCATCTCGCGGACCCCAACCAGGTCAGTCAATCAGATGCAACGTAGAACTCGTACGTAAGTACATCAGTTCATGTTGCCATACCACATTAGCACAGAAATGTCATTGTCAATTCAAATGCATTAGTAGTAGAGGTAGTAAAGGTACTAGAAGTAATCGGAGAGGTTAGGATTAGAAGATATTATTCAAGAATTATGATTCAGTGAGATAAGTTTCGAAAAACAAAACTAGAGGTGTTGAAGAATCCAGAAGATTAGGATTTGAGAGAACACAAAGAATAAATGCACCGGCGCCATTGCAAACGGTTTTGAGCCATGTCATTCAAGGTCTCTAACCATCGATTAGTATCATCTCGCGGACCCCAAACAGGTAGTCGACAGTTACCGACATGGCTAAGTCCACTCGTCAATGACTTCATGGGTTTCTGCCATGTTTTGGTTTGGCCGCCTCTAGCTTTCTTCCAACCTATTCCTACACTACAAAACAAGGCTCGACGAGGCAGTCGGTGGTTGGGCATACGCAAGACATGTCCCAACCACCTCAACTGATGAAGTTTCATTACTTCATCAATTGATCTGCCATCCTTACTTAACACCCGTTTCCTAATAACAGCGTTACTCACTCGGGTGTCCCGTGATATACGAGCAATGCTTTGAAGACATCTTTGATTGAAAACCAGTAACCTACGAATATCTTCTACTCGCACTGGCCATGTTTCGCAGACATAAAGTAAGACGGAGCAAACAACTGCATAGTACACTCGTCCTTTGGTCAGCAAACGGATATCTCGCCTACGCCATCAGTGACGCAGGTTGGCAAAAGCCAGTGGAGCTTTCTTTATCCGAGCTGAGATTTCGTCAGTCGCCAGGCCATCAGCACTGATGAGACACCCCAGATAAGTGAAGCGGTCAACACGCCCGAATACTTCACTCCTTATCACTAGTTTAGGTGCCGATGCAACCCAATCTTGAAGCAACATTTTGCATTTCGAGGGTGAGAACCGCATCCTGAACATGCTTGCATTGTTGCTTAGGATGGCCAGAAGACTGAATTTTGTCAGTGTCTTCACCAAATAGGACTATGTCATCGGCATATTCTAAGTCAATAAGCGAGGCTCCTGGTAATAGGTCTACTCCTGAAAATTCAGATGCGGATAATGTTACATCTAGCAGCATGTCTATGATAAAATTAAACAAGAATTGGGAAAGTGGACAGACCCGACGCACACCACTTGAAGTAAAGAATTCCGGTGACAGTTCGCCGTAAGCTCTCACCCGACCAGTGGTGTTCGAGTAGAGAGCTTGTGTGAGGTTAATGTACTTGTTTGGTACATCTTTCAATGACAGACACATCCACAGAACCTCACGATCCACTGAGTCAAATGACGCCTTCACATCCAGGAAGACAACTATTGTAGGGCGTTTACATCTGCCAACATGACTCAGTCCATTTGTCAGTGCCTTCATGGATTCGTGCCATGTTTTGGTTCGGCCACCCCTAGCTTTCTTCCAACCTACCCCGACACCAAGCATCTTCGCTCTTCGGGGCAGTCGGTAGTTGTGCATTCGTAACACATGTCCCAACCACCTCAACTGATGATGGTGCAATCTGTAGTAACCATTAGTCTTAAAGTAGATCAAAAAGACACACACTTAACCCTAATGTCTTGTTGGGGTTCATTTTTACACACAATCATCTAACTCACCTTTAATAATAACGGGGCGGCCAGACCAAAACATGGCAGAAATCCATGAAGTCACTGACAGGTGGACTGAGTCATGTTGATAGATGTAGACTACCTGGTTGGGGTCCGCGAGATGAAAGTCACCAACGGCCCAAAATCGTTTCCAATGGCCCAGGTGCATCCAATCTTTGTGTTCTCTCAAATCTTAATCTGCAGAATTCCTTATCAGCTTTATGTTCGTGTTTCTAAATTTATCTCACTGAATTATACTTCTTGAATAATTCCTCAGAAGCATAATCTTCTCAATTACTGCTAATTCTTCTACTATCTCTACCACTATGGGGTTTGAATTGACAATTGCGTCTCTGTGCTAATGTGGTATGGCATCATGAATTGATGTACTTACGTACAACGTTCTACTTTTTAACAGACTGACTGACAGGTTTCACCAGATTATTTGTATAATGTCATATTTTAGATTTACAACGTGGAAAGTGGGTTAAGTTGCTCGTTTATATTTTTATCTGACACTATACTTCTTTGTTCATAAGCGTATAAGCGGCCAAGATGGACTTCAAAAGACCTTTGGCTGGAGTTACCTCGATGTCTATGGTTCCCTTGCCTAGCAAGAAACCTCGGAAAGATGTTTCAAGTCTGGCAATCACTCCATTCAGTAATGGGACGTACAAGTTAAATTCACAGATCATACCAGCTGGACAAGCGGGAAGCATTCCCCGTACATCAAATTTATTATCACCAAATATGCTTTTAAATGGTCATGAAAGTGAAGTATATTGTGGGAAATTTTCTTCTGATGGGTCGTTCGTCGCAAGTGCTGGATTTGATCGCCGGATACTATTGTGGGAAACTTACGGTGAATGCGAAAATATTGCGACGATGATGGGTGTGTTATATTTTTTTGATAAAGATGAACTTAATGTCCTATCGTAGTTATATGTGTTGTTACCAATATGTTATGAATGTTGGAACTTCAATATTATTCCATATTTTTCATCCCTCGGAATCATTAGCCCTTGACTTCAAACCGTATTTAGTCATTGTTGATATTACTTTTATCTTGGGAATTTATTCCTTTTGGAATGTTGCAAATGAAATTGGGTTGATTCACAGTTGTATCAAGCTCCGTGTTGGTTATGGCTGAGTGTTTAAGTTTCTATAGTATACATCAGATTGGTTATTATTGTTATTATATTTACTACGATTAGGGTGACCAAATTTGTGTTTTTGTTTATTTACTCTAAAAGCAGTAGCTACAAGTTTTCTCCACCAGCAGTAGCAATAGTTTGTTTTATGTACATTGGAAGATATGTCGAAACAAATATGTTATGAGTAAACTATTCGAAAAATAAATTTAAATTGTTAGAAAGTTTTGAAGGTACTTTTGCATAATAAATTCGATCACTATGCTAATATTTCACGACTTCGACTTCAATATATTGAATGAGAATACTTCTATCCTCCTTCTTACCCCGCTAACTAGACTAAAGAGACTTTCAGTAATGGAAGCTCTGTTAATGATAACTCCATTATAGTTGAGAATGCATTGGAGTTAATCAAATGTCTATCAGCATTTGTCATTAGACATAAATAATAACAAATAAAGAACTAATTCTGTTTTTTGGATTTTACGCATTTGGAGGCCTGTTTAAACTTTAGGTCACTACTTCTCTAGACCTACACTTATTGACAGAATTTCTATTTTAAATTTGTCTTGATTTACTGTGTAAGTAAATGAAATTCTTTCTGAATTTCGATTAAGACAATCATTGAAAACATAATGTTGTACAACCACTTATGAATGATACTTCATTGTATACAAATTATTTAACTAGACCATTCAATGTAAATTAACTTCTCGTTACTACTCTCCTTTCCCGACCGTAGCTACTACCTTGACATGGTGGTCGGGCTTGACTATCGTGATGACACAACCGAGCTATATTGGCTGGAACATATGTTCCTGTAGGTTCTACCATGCCAGGCAGGTCAATTGGAGAACGATGAGACTAAAAGCAGCTACTCCAGGTCTGAGGGCGAAGTCGTACTGCTGACTGCAGAGGGGTATGACAGCAGTAAGGTGTTTCCCTCGGACAAACAGCGTCTGTAGCGATGCTACCTTCTCACAAGGAAGGAAGGGTTAGAAAAGGTCGACCCTAAAACTGTCACACTTCACCTTACCTCACGGATTTCCGTCTCCAGCGGTAAGACCTTTTAAACAACGACGGAGCTAACACTTAAAAAACTGCTTATGAAAAGGCCGTGCGTGACCGGCCTCAAGCAGTTGTCCCTTGGGCTCTGCGGTCACGCTCACAGGTGTCTAAGACCGACACTAATCCACCTTCTTTTTTAGGTTCTTCAAGAAACACCCACGGTCTGGGCAGCCGGGAAGTGAAATCCGCCATTATACCCTTAACAACAGGAGAGACCAAAATGGTCACAAACAAATCCTTTCTACACCCCCTGACATCTGTCTTATCTCCACGACTCACCCTTCTCACAATACTTTATCACGCTGCACCGCTAATGCAAACGATTCGAGTTCACGAAACGATATCCCTGGTCTCCTGAAACTCCGTTCTAAACTACATGTTGAAGCATTTAATGTCCGGACAATGTGTCAAATAAGACAACAGGCCTGCTTAGCTAGGACTTTAGAATCTCGCTCAATCGATGTGTGCAGCGTCTCGGAAACGCGCATACAGGATCCTAGTAAAATCATTAATTTGATTTCACCTTGTCAAAATAAAGAACCAACTCGATTTACTCTTCATGTTTCCGGTAGCTCTTATGCTGCTTCCCGAGGTCTCGCTGTTGTAGGTATAGGATTGAGTTGTAGGGCAGAACTAGCTCTCCTAGACTGGATCCCTGTAGATAGTCGTTTGTGCGCTGTCCGACTGAACGGGACAGTAAGGACTCGGAAAGATAGGGACACTCGCCGTTGCCTCTTCGTCATATCTGCCTACGTTCCCACTGACTGCAGTTCAGACGAGGTGAAAGATGAGTTTTACAGAGAGTTTTCGGACCTCCTCCGAAAAGCTAAGCGCTCTGATATAGTAATACTACTGGCTGGAGACCTCAATGCTGAAGTAGGTAGACTATGTAAGAAGGAAAGACACCTGGGTTGATCTTATGGTATCGTGGCTCACAGAACAGACAATGGCGACCGTCTGTTGCAACTGTGTTCAGATAACCGCTTATTTGTAGCAGACACTAACTTTAAGCATAAGGAACAACATCTTTTGACCTGGCGACCCCCAAAGCCGTCCTAACGCTGAACACAACTAGATCACATCGCCATCAGCTACCGATGGAGAGGTTCGATAGAGGACTGTCGCTCGTTCTGGGGCACATGTCTAGATTTAGATCATGCTGTAGTGCGAGTGCGTATTTGCATGTGACTTACTGGATGTAGGGAAGAAACCACAAAGAAACCTTTTACGGTTTTACTTAATAATAACAAAGCAACAAATATATTTCAGGATCGAATAGAAAGTTAGGAAGCCATGTAATAAGTGATGCCCACCCTGAGGCAACTAGGAATGATTTCCGAAAAGCTGTGGAGACAGCACTTATATCTACTAGAATCGATGGATTTCAGTATCATGTTTGTCATTTTTTATACATGGTGAGTATTCTCAAAGCTTTAGGATTCAGACTGAGAAGTTTTATTTCGATGCATCTTGTTAGTTCATATTATCAGGGGCTATTTATACTAATAACCATATGAAGTTATTTAAAAACAACCTAAGTTTATTAGTTACTTCCCAATTAAACATTATAGCCATCATATGCTTGTCACCTTGATAAAGTTGGTGAAAAGTATTAATTGATTGGTATACATGACGTCCTTCTCGTAGCATTACTTTGTCGTCCGTCATATCTTTGAGTGCAATCCAATTATTTCATAATCCTTCTACCTTTTCTCAGGTCATGGCGGTGCCATATTAGATTTAGTACTTTCCTCAGATGATTCAGTTATCTATACCGCCAGTTCAGACAAATCTATCGCCCTATGGGATACCGAGAGTGCTCAACGCATTAAAAAATTCAGAGGCCATGAAAACATTGTTAACTCTTGTGCAGTTGCCAGACGTGGTCCTCAGCATGTCTGTTCTGGTTCAGATGATGGAACGATTCGACTGTGGGATCGACGTCAAAAGGCCTGTGTGCAAACATTTCAAAATACATATCAGGTTGGGTAACGTTAAAATTGTTTGGTTACAAATTTAGCTATTATTGTCTAAAGTTCGAATCACTTATTTGCTAGTCTTAGTAATTATGTTATCGTTAAGTTTATTATCTCATATGAGGATGTTTTACCCTGTCGCTCCCTGAAATAGTGAGTTTCGTGCTTTACTTATTAAAATACAAATACCGCTCGATTATGAATTACAATATCTTAAAGAAACTCAGAAGATAGAGTGCTTATCTAGACGTATTCATCACAGTTTGTAAAAAACTTGAGTACTAATCAGTTTAAAAAGCAAAATATTCTTAAATTATCATCGAGCTACTTCGCCAGGCAAATCAATAGGTTTGACTGTTAGCCAGACACCTATATTTTATTTTGATCTCCGAGTATGATATTCTAATGTCTTGTGCACCAAAAATACATTTCTGCCTTATTTTCACTCTATAGCTCTGCAATGCAGCTATTATGCACGATTCACTCGTTATGATTTCTGTTTTATAAAGTTCACATTACTGTAAAGACTAATCAGATTTTTAGAGCTTACTAGTTTTCACCAGTTGTTTATGTAATGTAATTTTTTATAACATCCGTAATATAAACAATCTGGCTGTATTAAGTATTTGTGCGTCTAAAATGACTGAAGTTCTTAAGTTTTAAACATTTTGACGTCCACCTGTCGGTGGTTAAGTGTGTTTGGCGCGAGACCTTAAAGTCATAGGTTCGAGTCCAGTACTTTCTGGTTTTAAATGGTATTTATAATTTATTTTAATATTATTCCTCTTTGAGGTCATTCTGAATGACGGTATTCTTGTTCGAAGTTTCATGCACTGAAATGGAACATCTCTATCTTTCTTTCCACAAATATATTTCCATTTTACATCTACGAAAACATTTTCAGCTCATCGATTAAATGAATGTTCTCAAATCCTAGTCACTGTCAATATACCTAGATGTGGTTTTGTTAGGATATTCACCAAATATCCTAAGAATACTATTTTTAGAACTGCAATCCTATTGGTCGAATTCTATTGGCCGAAATTTTGATCGTTCTTACCGTCAGGATCAAATACTTCAATGTTATCTCTTATTGGTCATCTGGACGGTCAATGTCATCCAAATGTTCTTTTCTATTGGTCGTCCTAAATTGTCAATGTCACGGACGTTGATGCTTTTCTTATTCGACCTTAGCGTATAAATACGCGCTATCTGGAAGACTTAATAACTCCGTTTCCCCCGCCTACTTCTTCTTCTGTTTTCGACCCAATAAACATCTTCCTTCCACGGTGTTACGTTCTGATTTCTAGGAGATTTGGAAAAGCCTTTTGGGTCGTATTGTGATATTTGAATTGGACGCCGTTAGGACTGAAGATTTACGTAGCCGCGTTTACAACAGGTTTATATATATATATATATATATATATATATATATTCTACCTGTTACGATGGGTACTTATTTTTTTATGGTCGTTAATTTATTGCACCGAGTCTGTGTTGCCTTATAAAAATTTGTCTACACTTATTATGATCTATTCAGATTCATGTCAAGAGTTGCTTGTAGGATGAACACTGAATCCTAGATTGCGTTATTAGTTGTCCAAACTAATGCATCATAAAGAAAGCAACTGGAGCATTGAAAATTACTACAAAATAGCTGTTATACTGACTTGGTATCAGTTAGTTTGGTATAGATAATCTGTAAAAAAATTTAAAGTTATGGTATGATTATACTTTTCACATTCATTCTCTAGGAAGTTTGTTCTACTGCTTCGATCGTGTAATTGTTTAAATGAACAGAATGTTACTTATTTTTATAATTTGGATTGAGTATTTTTGATCTACGTTAAGTATATTTTTGATGAATTAGGCTTATATAAGCCTTTATTTCATTTCATTAGGTTCTTTCAGTTACCTTTAGTGATACTGCTGAAATGATATTTTCTGGGGGCATAGACAATGTTGTGAAAGGTTGGGATTTGCGAAAATTGGAAGCTAGCATGTTACTTAATGGACATACGGACACAGTTACTGGTTTATCAGTCAGTCCGGATGGCTCATTTTTACTTTCCAATTCCATGGACAACACATTACGTATGTGGGATATTCGTCCATTTGCTCCAGCAGATCGGTGTACAAAGGTTAGTTTTAACATTGTATTAATTACAGTTATAATTCCAACCGTTCATGTTTATATATTGAGAAATGCTTTAATTAAAAGTAATCATAGCTTCAAATATCGAACCGATTATCTGTATATGATAAGCAGTTTTTTGTTGGCATAAACTTCATGTATTTGGCATTTATCATCTGATAGAAGAATACTGGTTCACATGTTTCGTAACGGAATCTTCACTTAATGAATTACTATTTCGGTCATTTATGCTTCTCAGCTTTGCTCCACTTTATTACAGATGACGAAACACCGTCGTGTTATGCCACTTATTAACAATTAAAACTAAAATTCGGTACAACATGTAATTTAATAATGCGATCCTAGTAGTTAAACACAGCTTCACTGTTTCAAATTGCATATATTGTTCTATGGCTAGATGTATTGTCTGGGTAGCCGAACCAAAGTATGTGCAGCAGAGTTTGTTTTTGATAGACCAGAGTTGTGAACGTTGAGTGTGCATATCAATTAGTTGTAGATACATCTTATTGCTGACCGTCAGTACTATGGATAGTTAAGGTAATGCTAACCAGAAATTCTTTAAAGGTTTGTCTAGTTTGGACACATTATATGATGTGTTGTGGTTTTTCACTGAAAACGCTTCCCACTACATATATGGCTTAGACACTAAAGTACTGTTTATTTCTACTATCCTGTGTTAAGATTATTGTTTGTCCAGTGATCATGTACGTAAATACCTCATTCTTAGGGTTGCAGTTCAGTAGTTTAGTTACCACATCATCAGTTATACTGTTAACGATTACACCTTTACTCAGACTGTCTTACTTTTGACACAACTGTGATAACATTGAACTCCATACAAGGAGTGTGACCTGTATAGATTATCAAGTTTTATTGTTATAATCATTTACATAATAATTTACATGGCCATGAAATGAGTTATTTTTGTGTAATCCATCTCACTTTCTGTAAATTAATTTAAAAGTGACTAAATGTATTAAAGGAATATATATTTGTAATTGTATATGTATGTAACTGAGTATTTTTGTTACTTTCTTTAGATATTTACAGGTCATCAGCATACATTTGAGAAGAATCTTCTTCGATGTGCATGGTCAGTTGATAGTCGTCGTATAACTAGCGGCAGTGGTGATCGTTATGTTCATGTTTGGGATGTAAATACACGTCAGTTAGTGTATAAACTTCCTGGTCACACAGCATCAGTAAACGAAACTGCATTTCATCCAACAGAGCCAATACTTTTATCTGTTGGTAGTGATAAGAAAATCTTTTTGGGTGAAATCCTTCCTTGTTTGTATTAAAATTATACATTTTTTGATATAACACTCATTTTTTGTGTATAAAAGTAGATATATTTGCATGTCATATATAAATACTTTAATAATTACTGTGTTATGTTATTGTTTAAATCATTATTATCAGTACAACAGTCTTGTATAATTCCATACAAAATCTAACAGAAATCAAAGCTATTAGGACTGTTGTTATAATTTTCGTTTTTGTAGGGATTTATCAGTAGGTATACAAGATGCTTTCTAGTACTAAGCTTTCTTTTTATATTGGCGATCAGGATTATTACCTGGGTGATATAATTTCTGAATGCAGCAGTAGGTGTCATTAGATTGGAACTGTGACAATGTATTAGTTCCTTGAAGATTACAGATCCATTTTACTAGAAACCATGTGCTTGGCTCAGTTCTTGTTTAGTCTTACGTTATTATTTTTTTAAGATAAGCACTGTCAGTAGTAAGATATTCAGTCTGCAGTATGATTAGTGAACGGAAAAATCATATATTTGTATTCATTACTGAATAAAAGCTACTGTAGTTTGGAGTTCTTAATAATGACAGTATATAGTAACTTGCGGATTTAATATAGCCAACACGGAGCCTTGTGAGGTGTGACGTATGTGCTGTAAACTAGACGTAAGCATTATAAGTTATTACAGAAGCTTAGTTTCTGTATGAAACGTTGAATAATTTTATCTCGTTTATAGGGAATATTCAATGTTAGTTATTATTAATATTAGTCCGCATTTTAACTCTGAAATAGGAAGTGAATTTTTATGGATTCAAATGACAACCCTAACTTATAATTTGTGATGTCCATTAATTTTGACAGATTTTTTAATTCCATTTAATGACATGGTACTTATTTCAGTGGTGAATTTATATATTCACAAATTTACGTCAATTCTAGGATATGAAAATTATGGGTAGTTATTTTGTCGATAACTTGGAGTTTAATAAATTTCCAAAAAATTAAAGGTCTATGGCGTACTTTTAATATTGGGCAAGATTGAAGCTAATAGATACCAAGCAACCCAGGCTACTTTGTTCGCTCAAAAATAGATAAATTTAATACTATTTTTTAAAAAAAGCATTGAATCAGTATCTCAGTTATTTTCGGTCGAGGTTTTTTTGATATTCTTTTGTTCATCTCGTGTCATACAGTTTGGTTCGAAATTGAACAGATAATTAGTGAACTAAGAGAAACAAACGCTTCAGGCTTTTTAACTGATTAATGAATTAAGAAATAAAATAAATTTGAGGACAAAATGCATCTCAAATTACAAGTGATTATTGTTTAGTTTATAAATAGCCTATAAGAATTACAACAGAAAAATGTCCTGCATTAATGTGAAACTTGGTTTTTTTTTGTATCTAGTCAATTGTTTAGCAAATCTATACTCCTTAAAACTATAAATAATTTTCTGTGTTTCAAAGATAAGTAGTTTATTTATTTATTTAGGTAATTGATTGAACAGTGTTGATATAGTGTGAACAACAGTGTATAAGTGAATCTGGAAGAGAATAGGTGAGATGACAATTCAGTTGAGCATATGGGATGCACTTTTGCTAATGTAAGCAACGACAACAGAAAGTAGTAATGCATACACAAGATTAATGTAATCTAATAACCAAGACTAGAAGTTGATAGGCTAGCGTTTCAAATGTTTTACAAAGCACTAAATAATGGGTACTTGTCACTTAACGCATTTATGGATAAATACTTAATCACTGAAATCATGAATCGACCAATGTGAAACCACCATTAGAAACCTGGAAGTACTGGGTGTTGACAGTAACTACCGAACACAGTGTATGAGGTTACGCAAGACCATGAATTGATCGAAGTTCGACATTAACACCGTTAGATATCGGCTCAGTGGTCCAGAGGTCAGGCGTTCGTGCGCAAGACCGGAGGTCCTGGGTTCGAATCCTGCGAGGTGCAGGAGTCGTGGGTGCGCACTGCTGCTGAGTCCCATACCAGGACGAAACGACCCTCCAGTGCTTCCAGGTTTCTAATGGTAGTCTAACGTTGATCGACTCATGACTTCAATTATTAACTCAACAATCACCACAGCCCCATAATGCAAATACCTAATCGAATAGATATTAAATCAAAATGAAAGAACAAATGGATTTTGATAAAATTAATATGACAAGATCCTTACTATTTTTATTATTATAAGTTTGTTTATTGTCTGTAATTGTTTTCAGCCTATAAATCATTATCAATAAACTGTCTAGTTCTAGAAGTTGTCGAATGAGGCATCTTGTTCAATTTATGACAATTTCAGTGAAGTCTGGTTTTAAATCCTAAAGAATATATTATTTGGATTGACCAACTTCCAAAAACCTTCAATCTTGATAAAATGATTCCAAACAGGGTTAAAACTTTAAAAAATGATTATTTGTTTTACTTGTAAATATTAGATAAACTTCATATTACCTGGTGTATACTTTGAAACAGCCAATTCAGTAAATCGAAAATAGTGTGAGACAATTTTCTCTTCATTGGTAAACGTAGGTTAAGAATGTTAGTTTGACTTGAGGGCATTAGATTATTTTTACGTTTCATAGATCAATTATGTAGATTTTGTGCACTTTTTCAATTATCCTAGTGGATCATTCAAAATTTATTGAGGTTGAAGTATTTGTTCGCTCACATTGAGGGTAGAAGTCTGGTTCTATTGGATGGGAAAATAAGAAAACTGGTTTATAAATTCAATTTTGCTTTAGCTTTGTTATGCTGTGGCTCAGGAATGCAAACTACAGGCAGTTTATGTTAAAATAGACTAGTTATTACTGATGCTTCCTTTGTATTTTGTTGCAAATACTTGCATAATCAGAAATAGTTTATCCAATCAGTTTGAGCTAGCCGACAATTTTAGAGCCGGAAAGCGCGTCTGTGTCCTTGAGGAATAAACAGAATGACAGAATGGCTTATCATTCATGGTTGCTCTGTCATCAGCTTTTCGCATAGTATGTAATGTGCTTCTTAACCTAGAAAAATCACTCAATTTTTGTGAAAGAATTTATAAAATATGACGGATTAGTAAAATTACGAATGTGTAATGCGCAGGCTGGTATCCCTCCCCTTTTGCCTCAAACAATTCTCTTTTAAACGTATCCACAAACCTTTCCGCTTGCCCATTCGATTGCGGGTGGTATGGTGGGGAGCTTAAGTGTTTAATGGCTAGCTGTTGGCGGAAAGTTTGGGATTGTGTGGAGGTAAATTGAGACCGATTGTCAGATACGATCACATCTGGTATACCATTCCGAAAGAAGATTTCCGTTAGGAGCTGTTTTATCTTAGTAGTCGTAGCCAGCACTACGGGGCTGATTTCTGGCCATTTTGAGAAGGCATCGACCACAACTAAATACATAGTTCCATTGATTGGACGAGCGAAGTCAACGTGTATCCTGGACCAAGGATGATCAGGTTTGGGTCATGAAACCGGCGAAACTTTGGTATTCATCTTTGACGCTTGCTGACACCGCATTCATTTTTCAGCTAACGCTGTGACATGTTCCATGAGAGGCCAGTATGCATAACTCCGGGCTATGGACTTCATTCGTTTAACACCTGGATGACCAAGTTGGAACTGTCTCAGCACCTCACGAAGGGATTCTGGCACCACTATTCTTTCACCAAACATCAAACAGTCGTTCACGATGCATAGGGAATCCCGCCTCTGATGCAGTTGCTTCATGTCACCCTCAAACTTTTTCGACGGCCAACCGTTAGTGACATATTTCATCGTCATCTTGATGTTGGGGTGGTTTCTAGGAGCATTTTGTATGTCTGCTGCAGACACCGGTAATGCGCGAATTGCGGTTGTCCGATAACATTCTTCGTGGTCTTTCACTGACAGAGATGCGATTACCATGTTTTCCTCAGCCGCCACTTGATTCTTAATGAGCCGTGACAAAGTGTCTGCTTGACCGAATTTTAGAGTGCGTTGATCTTGGATTTCGAAATCATACCCCAAAAGCACCAGGGCCCATCGCTGAAGACGATTTGTAGAATGGGCTGGAATGCCAGATTTAGAACAGAGGCTTGTGATCTGTGAGGAGCTTGAATCTCCGACCGTACAGAAACTTGTGGAAACGACGAACAGCAAACACAAGGGCAAGGGCCTCTTTTTCTATCTGGCTGTACTTCTTTTCTGCTGGGGTTGGTGTACGGGATGCATGCATAACGGCTTTCTTGACGCGTCTAGAAACTGACGTGAAATAGCAGCACCTAGACCATATGCTGAAGCGTCTGCTGCTACGATGATCGGCGTGGATGGGTCGTAGTGTGTTAATAACAATTCCGAGCTAATTATAGACTTGAGTTTACCAAAAGCCGCATCACACTCTTTAGTCCAGTTCCATGTGCTATGCTTCTGCAGTAGACAATTCAATGGAGCGCGAATATCATGCATCGAGGGAACAAAAGCTGAATAATAACTGATTAATCCGAGATAAGATCGTAATTCTGAGACGCTAGTGGGAGTGGGCATCAGTTTGATAGCTCGGATGTTCTCAGGATCCGGTCTGCGACCGTCGGCATCAAAGATGAATCCCAAATACTTTACCGACTGCAATAGAAACTGGCATTTTTCTGGGCGTAACCGGAAACCATTGTCACTGATGCGTTGTAGTACCAACGTCGTGCGTCTCCGTAGCTGTCCTAACGTCTTCGCAACAATCAAGATATCATCGAGATAAGCTGCAACCCCTGAGATATCTGACAGGATAGTATCCATTAGTTGTTGGAAGATAGATGGGGCAGTCTTAACTCCAAAAGGTAGACGGTTATACTGGAACAAACCACGATGAGTATTGATAGTAAGCAGCTCTTTTGATGCTTTATCTACCTCCACTTGCAAATAGGCATCAGCTAGATCGAGCTTTGCGAAAAACTTTCGCCCCTTCAACATAGTGACGAGATCTGCTGGGACTGGTAGAGGATAATGATGCTGTTCCAGAGTTGGAAAAGTCAGCACATATACGTATCGTGCCGTTGGCCTTCTTGATAACGAGTAAGCAATGGGAGTAATAACTCCTTGTCGTTGAAGGCCATTCAATTCTTAATCTACTGTTGCTAATGTTGCATAAGGCACGGGTCTCTTTGG